ATATAGACGCTACAAATTACATTAGTGATTAGTGGAAAACTGTATGAATCTGATTTTTTGAAGGTCTGTTCCTTTAATGTACACTTACAGAACACACAGGGATCAGCGTCAGCACTCAAAACGTTCTCCTTTAACAGTGATATCAAGTTTTGCTTTAGTTTTGTTTGTACAAGTTATTTCTAAGCATACAGCCCATTCAAATGAGGAATATTTGCAGACTACAAAAAAGAAAACAAAATCAGTCTTACTTAGCTAGACAGGTTCTTTATTTTACTTAAGGAATTTGCTTGTATTCAAGTAAATTATCACTACTGTAGCTAACAGTACTTACCAATTACTGCACTTTACGTCCTGATTCTGAGTTAGCTGGTCATCGCAGTGCAGCACCCAGTGCAAGACCAAAAAAAAACAAAAAAAAGAGAGAGAAAAAAACTGACCTGTGTTGCAGGTCACATTCAAAATCAACCTTTACAGCATCACTCCTTATAGGACAATTTGCCATATCCTATTAGAAATATTTTACTTTTCTTGTATCTCTCTTTCAACAATAATTACTTCTCCTTCCTAAAAACACCTCTACATGGACTAAAACAACACTGCGAGCAAACATATTATTCAACATATCATTTACAATGGAATACGTTTGTTGAAACAAAATGCATTATGTGTTTCTTTTATCCTGAGGACGACAACTCCAGTGCAAATCATATAAAACTACTGTTAAGTAGCTCTTAACATCTAGCTAGCACAGCAGCTTTTAGCAGCTAGCTAGCACTGCAACGTTACCTTAAAGCGGCTAGCAGAGTAACTTAGGTGCTATTTAGAGGTAACGTTAATGCACTGTTATTATTTCTTTTAACACTTTTTACTTCGATATAAACAGAACGGGTTAAGTTACCGTGATAGGGTTAGCGTTACGTTTTAGTCACGCTGCACGTTATCATAGACTGCTAACCTGGGGGAAAATTCTGGAACAGACTCAGGCATCAATTCACAACAAGAAAGTTAACTTACCAAACCTCTTGGTTCTCTAAGCTCTTAATAGCGGTTTTTTCAAGTTCTGTATGTATTCAGTTCAAACTTTCCTTCGCAGAGTTCTCGCCCCTGTTTCCCTGCAGAGGGCGCTGGGGAGCTGTAACGGCTCTTTCCCCGTCCTGACTGCTGATTGGCTGGATCTAATATAGCTTTATCGTTAACTTACAATATAACATGCTGAAACATGCATACAACTGTAAAAAAAAATATTATAGTTACAGCAGAGCCGGTTTATGAGGAGCCTGGCCACTCCCTATTCCTCCCGTTATATCAAAAACAGGACTCCTAAACAGCAGAGGGCGCCCGCGAGTGAGTCCTCAATGAATGGGAGTGAATGGAGCTCAACGGCTAAAAACGAAAAGTTAAAATAGTTTCTAATCACTCGCCCAGAACGTTTCTTTAATTTTAGAAAGTAGAAGGATGTATTTCACTAAAAAACAAAGAAAACTCACCCATATGTTTCCTTTTTTCTACAGCAAACGGGTTTTGGGCAGCAGGAGGCGGCCATTACGCTAGAGCGTGATGATTGATTGGCGAGCGGAGCAGCTCATTGGCTGTTCGCGCTCACTGACGTCATGAACATACATGAGGCGCCGTTTTAAACTCCTATAACTCGAGTTTAAAAGCTCTTAAAAATATAATAGCGGTGTTAAAATGTTTTATGATGTTCAGTGTTCAGGAAATTATTGCATTATTTTACATTAAAAATGTTTAAGCATTTATAAACTATGATTTTGCTCAAATGCTCCGTATCAACCCATTAATTTTGGACTCACTCGGGAGCGCCCTCTAGCGTTTGAGAAAACCGGAAGACATTGCAGAGTGGGAATTCTCCTCTCTACAAGTTCTCTGGTTACAGTTCTAATAATTTAAAAAATCGATTACTTTTCCGGGTTCCTACATGACGTAAGCATTGGAGAAGTGAGTTTAATTCCAGTTAGAAGAGAAACAGGGTTGGTTGAGAATTTGAGGACCTCTGTTTAAAGAATTGAGCGTGTGGAATGAAGAAGTTAACACTGTGTTCACTTAAAAATGGTTCTTCAGGGGTTTCTTAGTAAAGGCAACAGTAATATTTAGAACCATGAGTCCTACATTGAACCATTTCATACTTAATTTGTTCTTTGTAGTGAAATGGTTTCTCAGATTGATAGAGAAAGTGTTGTACCATTGTACATTGAATGTGTATGTTGACACATTCTCCAACAATAGAATTCATGGTTCTACATAGAACCACTCCCTGTGTCATGTTTTGTTGAGAATGTTCATTAGTGATATTATTATTGTAACAAAAAAAACTTTAAGTTTAAAGAAGTAAACTACAACGACCCACCTCAAAAGTCTTCTGATTTTTTGATTACACTCAAAAAAATATTTAAGCCCAAAGTTAAAACTTATGTATTTTAATTACATCAATTTTCCAGTCAATTTAAATTCATAAATCCAATGGTATTATAATTTGTTTCTCCATCATGTTCATTAAACCTGAATGAATTAAATAACGTTTAAATTAGTAGTACGTGCAGGATTTATGCAATTATTTAATACAATTACTTAGACTGTGTAAATGTATTAAATGACAATACATGTTAAATTCACAAACATTTATTGTAGTCCAAACTGTATCAAACAGTATTTGCTGAGGCACAATACAAGACACACGTAAACTTTAAAGTCTAATGTGAAAGAAATGAACATAACTCTATATATTTCAGCTGTGATCAAATTCCCTGCTTTAGAATTTCTATTCACTCACAACTAAACTACTAATTAAAGCAAATGTTTATGTGCACAACATTCCCATTGAGGTGCAGCTCAAATGCTAACCATAATGCAAGTTAGCTAGCTAACGCTATCAGTCACTTCATGCCATGCTAATATGTCAAGGTCACCTACAGTTACAAAAACCATGAACTGTTGATTTAAATATTAATAGAACATATCTTTATATGCTATGCTTTACAATAAATCACTCCCATTGTTTATTTAATCTACGTTTTGTATCCGTTAACATGACAGCAGACCTAGCAAGGATGCTAGCTAGCTAATTCACTCATGTTATCTAGAGTACCTCTCAAAATAAGCAAAATGAAACACAAATGAAGTTAATGCGCATCACTATTCATTGCAGTTGCACTGTATAACAAAGGATGGCAGGAGATTGTAAAAAATAAAAAGAGCCATTTCATGTCCACCATGCCAGCTGAAGAAATTTCCTGGTTGATGATGCGTTTCCTGTTACTATTGCACATGCCCACTGCCTCCTAGTAAGATTTAGTGGAAAAATCTAAAAGGTCTTATACAATTCACTTAAATCAGTTTTGGATTTATCCAAATTGGGGTGCTTCTAATGAATATAAATAAGTAAGTAATGAGTATAAATAAGTATATTTTAATGGTTTTTAAATAAGTTTTACGTAAAATATTTGCTTAAAATTTATGATGGCCATAAATCATTTCTTTGAGTGTACGTCACGCGTGCAAAATACTATTAAGCAATAATATGAGGTGCCACCACGCCCCTCACCACCACCTCCTCCACCTATCAGAGGGAAACGTTCAGAGAGCTCCGCTGAGGAGGAGCAGTTGCTTTAAGATAATTAGCTTGTAGTTCAAACTCCCAGGTTGTTTTGATGGGCTTTAACGTTTAAGTTCGCTGCTTCGGAACACGATACTATAAACAATATGCGTAAGTTGTTTCAAAATCACTGAGATAATGTGTAATTAAATACTGTTTTCTGTCAAACAAGTTTTATTTGGTATCTGAAACAAAGTTCAAGTTGTAAACAGCCTTCAGTAAGCCATAATAGTAAACGAACGGCGGATGACACGTTATTAACAATTTATTTATCCAAGGAAAAAACTTAAGGTTTCAGCGTCATTGCAAAACAATCATGAGTCTAACATCTGTGATTTCGAGCAGAGTCCGTCTCCTATTTCGCTTGCCTACAGACGGCGCACTCACGGAGCCAAGCAGCGACGCAAAACAACTGTGACGCCCGACTCTTAAACGAATCGTTGATTCGAACCGAATCTTTTGAATCAATAAATCAAACCGAGTCAACAGTCCAAATGAATCGAACTTTTTTGTAGTATAAAATAATCTTTTACAGTTTAACATTATTAGTGACCTCAAATAACAACGTTGTGGTCAGTAACATTTTTTTTTTCATTTAAAAGGGTTCTATAGGCTATAGTAACACAAAAACATTTTATTTGTAATAACAGTGAAACCCTCTTTGGTGCTGTATGGTGCAGAAGTCCAGAAAGGCCATACGCTGTTTCTGGATTGTCAACCTGAGATAACAAGTAAATTAATACATCATCTCAATATGACAAGATAATTAACTCGTTATCTCAAGAAAACAAGTTTTGTTATCTCGAGATAACAAGATAACTGACTTGTTATTTGAAGACAACAACTTTTGTTATTTCTAGATAACGAGAAAACTAACTTGTTATTTCAAGATAACAACTTTGTTGTTTATTTCAAGATAACTACCTTATGGCCTCTCTGGACATCCGTAGTAGGGTACGTTTGGTGCTGGCACGCTTAAAAAGATTGTTCTTCGAGGGTTCTTTAGTCAAGAAAATGGTTCAATATAGAACCATGAACACTCAAAGAACTCTTTACCTGATTTAAGGGTTCTTTGCATCGTGAAAGTTGTTCTTCAGATTGATGGAAAATGTGCTGTGGATGGTTTATATAAAACCATTTAAAAAGGGTTCTATATAGCACCAAAAAGGGTTCCACTGTTGTTACAAGCCAAAGAACCCTTTTTTGGTACTATATAGAACCTTTTTTGCTAAGAGTGTATATCGCACTTAAATAAGAAAGTTTACTTGACTTCGTTGATTCATCTGAATCGTTGATTCATCTGAAAAATCCAATTCATTGGAACGGAGAGTTGGGAAGAATCGGTTCGTAAAAGTGAATCGAACTTCCCATCAATCCAGAAAAAAGTGCAGGCGCAGCTGTTTTGTGCAGAGCTGTGGGTCAGGATGTGCAGTTGAGGAGCGGAGCTGTGCAGGCGCTGAGACAGAACGGCTCGCAGTTTCAGAGCGCACGGTGCATCGCCGTGTAGAACGCGCTGCTCTGCTCTTCCAGCCAAGGCTCCTCGATAACGGCTCGAAATGAAGTGCTTCACGTTTTCCAGCTGCCGGCATTTTGTGCTGAAAGCTTTCCTGGTGCAAGTCCTCGCGTCTCTGGGAACTTTCGCTGCGCCTTCGCCCATTATCAAGTTCCCCGGAGATGACTCTGTACCACGGACAGACAAAGAAGTAGCCTTGGTGAGTTTGACTCCGCAAAACTGGCATGGATTTACATCACTACAATCTGTGTAAGGAGTAAGGCATCCATTCATTTTTAACACGCAAATGAAGCCAAATAAAATTGTTCTATTTATGTATGTTGCCAGAGTGAATGGAAGTATTACATAGTCTTTTTAATATATAGAGACCCGAATGCTTATTAAATGTATTAGTTTGCAATAGAGCACAAATCGAGGTGTTATGTTTTCTAAGTTTGGTCTTTTGTTCTAATATGGTGTGCTGAACACTTCAGAAGACTTTTTGTAGGATGTGGTTTGAGAAAGTTGGAATGTGGTATGCACTTCCAGGAAGGTTAAACTCTGTAAACTGTTCTTGTTTTTCTCTCTCTCTCTCTCTCTCTCTCTCTCTCTCTCTCTCTCTCTCTCTCTCTCTCACACACACACACACACACACACACACACAAACACTCCCCGCCCGTCTCTCTCTCTCTCTCTCTCTCTCTCTCTCTCTCTCTCTCTCTGTACAGCACTATCTGAATAAGTTCTATGGCTGCCCGGAGGACCGATGCAACTTGATGGTCCTGAAGGACACACTGAAGAAGATGCAGAAGTTTTTTTCTCTTCCAGAGACAGGGGAGATTGACCAGAGGACAGTTGAGATTATGAAGAAGCCACGTTGTGGAGTCCCAGACGTTGCCAATTATAAATTCTTCCACAGATCACCCAAGTGGGAAAAGAACGGCATTACATACAGGTTGAGAGACTGTTTTTCGTCTTTGTGTATGTGTTTGTACCCCAGATACTCCTAACCTAAGGCTGTGTCTGACTGACTCCTTGTTGTTTGTTGTCAGAGAGGTCACCTTGTCACCCTGTTTTTTATTTATGTATTTATTTATTTTGCCTAATCACACATTCCATTCTGATAAAATATGTTTATACTTTGTTAAAATACGTTTGGACCCTAAATATTTTTCAAAACCAAAAAAAAATAAAGCCATGAAGGCCATATTTGGGTGTCCTGGTATTCCAAAGCAAAAAGTCCCTGCTAGATAACAAAAACAACATTAGCAATGTCTCAAGAATGTCCTGAACTGTCTGTGTTGGCTAGATCTGACTGGAATTATGGTGTTAGCATTACCAGCAACGGAAGTAATTAGAGACAGAGAAGCAGCAGGAGTGTTGACTTACTGAAAATATATTGGTTGGTCATCTGTACATGCTGGAGTGATGTTATTCAAGAAACAAATTACCTGGTTAATATAACATGAGGCTGTCGTCATGATGAATTGGCAATAAATACTCTTAGGGGATGTATGTTGTTTATGTGAGTGTCTGTGTGTCTTGTGAGAACAATCCAGAGGAGTGGACAAAGCTGTTACAAGGCTTTATTATTGGTAAAAGGGAGAAGAACTTGGCTAGTTTGGCTTCTGGAGCATTTCTTGTAAGTGAATCATAGCCATAAGTATGCTTCGTTAGCTTTTATTATGTCTAACACAAAGCTGAATCAAAGAGAGGATCTCGTTTTTAATATCGTTTAGTCTAGAGTTGGCTTTTGTTGGCTTTTGTGTTTGGAAAACATTCCCACTCTTTTGTCTTAGGCTAGGCTTTATATTGCGCTAAGAAAATTCTTTTCTAGAGTTTAAAGGTCTAACTACCTCTCTCCTCTTTAGGATCCTGGGCCATACTCCTGACCTGGACGAGGAGACGATTGATGATGCATTCTTCCGTGCTTTTAAAGTCTGGAGTGATGTTACTCCTCTCACCTTCACACGCATCATGGACGGAGAGGCTGACATCATGATCAACTTTGGCCGCAACGGTACTCACGACCACTCTCTGGTGTGGTTTGACTGGAGTTTTCAGCCTAAGGCACCTGTATAGAGTATTGCTGTACACTTGTGTGCTGTTTTTATTCTTTACGAGCCTTTTCAGGCCTCTTAAACCTCCCTTCCATAGAAAGCATTGAGTTTTAGTTACACTTTGTCACAAAGAAAATGCCCATATGCCACAGAGTCCTAAGGAAATGGAAGTATGTGATGCTGATGCTAGATATACTCTCAGAGATTATAGCTAGACTCAAGTGACCGTCTGCCTAAGCTGTGGTTTGAAACAGCTTTAAATTATACAGTGAAAATGCAAAGTGCAGCTCAGTGGACTGGAAATTGTAGATCATGCCATCTATATTGTCCAAAGAAATAACCAGACAGTTACTCACATTTGAAAACATTTATTCAGCAAGATATTTGAGTCAAGACGGAAGAAAAATTATTGAGCTGATACCGCAGAACCCAAAGGGGTGACATGACATAGCAACTTACTGTCATCATGGTATAACTCTAAGTAGGGATGCACCAATATGGGATTTCTAGGCCAATAATGACAACCAATAATTAAGATCTTGGAGCTGATACCAATAACAAAAATTTTTACTTCACATTTAAAACAATTTCACACTATAATCTGTAATCAACTGTGATTAATTTGTTATGGCTATGAAATGCTGCTACTATACAAACATCAGAGACAACCCTTCATTTATTTGATTTCCAGTTAAAACAGCCATTAGCTGTTTTTTTTTTTTTAGTTTTTTTTAGCATATTTAACAGAGAATTACGCAAAAGCCTTAAAAGTCAGCTAAACTGCTATTTCTAATTTCATTCATCCTTTACCTTTATTACAGTTTCCATTTTTTCAGGTGGCCTGCTTTCAGTATTTCAAAGAAATCAACAGGGATATTTTACCTCCAAATCATAGTTATGAATCCAAGATCAGGATAATAATAATTCCATTTTAATATTTATCTTCGAATTACTTCGGCCACTGGTATGTTGTACCCCTTAGTTTTAAAGGCTTTCCCACAAGTTGTAGAAATCAAGATAAGCTGAATAACAATAAATTTTGTTCTTGTGTTAAATGTGCCGTAACTGCATTCTCAGTTTAGCAGGAGATTTTGGGTTCATGGCCTGTAGTGACTCTGCATTGGTTTGCTCTGTAGAGCATGGTGATGGTTATCCATTTGATGGGAAGGATGGTCTCCTGGCCCACGCATTTGCTCCTGGACCCGGAATTGGAGGAGACTCGCATTTTGATGATGATGAACAGTGGACTCTGGGAGAAGGGCAAGGTATCTTTACTTTATTTCTTTATTTGTAATACAGAGGTTTTCTTCTGCATGAGCAAGTTTTCCTCCATGATCAAAAGTTTATGTAAAATACAGTATCCAAAAATTTCATAGCCATGTGACTGGTATATATTAGAATCCTTTTCAACTGCTTTGTCCCAAGCAGAACTGGGACTCTTGTATCCTTGAGCTGCTTCCAACCATTGGGTTTTTTCTCTCTCTCTCTTTCTAGTTGTAAAGGTTAAGTTTGGTAATGCAGAAGGAGAGTTCTGTAAGTTTCCATTCCTCTTCATGGGGCAAGAATACACCAGCTGCACATCTCAGGGACGTGATGATGGTTTCCTCTGGTGCTCCACAACCTACAACTTTGATGAGGACGGAAAATACGGCTTCTGCCCACATGAGCGTGAGTAACCTGGCTTCCAGAATGGTCTGCTTGCAGGAGTACCCATTGTTCTTAAATAGGCAACTTGTGTAAGTGTCCATTGTTCTACAATAAGTTGTTTTAGTTAGATTTTTTGTCTCAAGCAAGGACATGATAATGACACTTTAGATATGAAAAATACCTTAAATGCTTGATGTCCCTGATACTGATGTTTTGTTACATGATGTGGTAAAATCTCATATGCTTGCTGTGAATCTTAAATCTAATTAACATTAGAATGAACTGCTCAAAACTGGTAATCAGTATGTTACATACTATAATTGTTGTGTTACAGTGCTGTTTACACTGGGTGGAAATGGAGATGGAGCCCCCTGTAAATTCCCTTTCACATTCCAAGGGGAGAAATATGACAGCTGCACCACGTCAGGTAGAGATGATGGGTACCGTTGGTGTGCCACTACCGAGGACTATGACCGGGACAAGACCTATGGCTTCTGCCCTGAGACTGGTACATCATTATTCTCTACTGTCCACATTTTATCTCAGTAAATCATATGTTATTAGAGAGTCCTTGTAGACTAGCAGACTAGTACATAGCATTTATATACACTCTTAAAAATAAAGGTTCCTGCTCCTAAGTGGCACAGTCTAAGCGTTTAGCATATTGTTGGGAGATCCTGAGTTCAATCCCAGACAATGCCAGAGCCATCCATGGCTGGAAGTCTAAGAGACCATAATTGTCCTTGCTCTCTCTGAGTGGGTAGGATGCTCAGTGTCTGTTTGCTGGACGTTAGCTGAGCACTCTTCTCTATGTATGTTATGCTGTCCAATGATGTTGCGTTAGTGGTGATTTGAAGAGGTGTAAGGGCTTCATGTGTTTAGAGGAAGCACATGCTAGCCCTCGCCCTCATAAGGTTCTTTTGACCAAGGTTCTTCACACTCATTTCATACCTTATTTCCAAAAACAGTTCTTAAGGTACCGTCTGTTGACAGGATGTTTAGGGAACCAACTGTGGTTCTTCAATGGCACCTCTTCAGACCCTTTTAGCACCTTTATTTTCGAGAGTGCAGTAGCATATTTCTTTCAGATGTACCTCAGGAGCCTAATGTGATACAACCTGCCCAAAGAAAAAAACCTTCATAGCTGTGGCCTCGACTCTTCCTGTAGTCTCCAAGAAGGCTGTAAAAGTCTTTGTTTTTTCACTGTGGGCTGGCAGTGGTTATTTTCCATTGTGTCAGGGAGCTGGCTAAAGCTAGCCAGGAGAGTAGGCCTCTTCATCTGGATCTAATTCACTGGGAATTCAACTTTGTGTGTGTATGTGTGTGTGTGTGTGTGTGTGTGTGTGTTCATATAACCCCCTGACTAAAAAGCAGCAGAAGCCTTGAGCTGTGCCAGCCATGACTCCAAATAAAAGCTCAGCAGGTCAGAGAAAGAAAAGCCCCTCACTTCAGTGCCATTCTGGGTTTTCATTTCTTAAATAAGATTGTTTTGCTGACATTAAAAGCATCTGGTATCCCTCTCAATAAGATTCTGTTGTATTCTAATCCAAAGAGTATTAGGGACATATCTTTTCTGTTCCTCTATGCTCCAGAGATCTGACCTCTTTGTTCCACTTGCTATTGCTTCAGTCTTGGTCATAATACAGGCTTGCTGTTAACTTCTAGTGGGACATCTTAGTCATTTAATGGCAGCTACTCTCTTGATTCATCTCTCCCTGGATAGTGGAAGGCTATGGTTGCAGTTACGCAAAAAAAAATAATAACAAGACATTTTGGACACATTTTCATGTTTCTTTTAGCGCTATAAACTAGTAGTGATAGTATAGCCAAAATGTATATTAAAGAATAATTAAAATTTTGGTTAATCAAGACATTTTTGGTATATGTCACAGTCTATGTATTTATTTAAATAAAAACATTTTAGTTTAAACCTTTTGTAAATCAACAGTGGCTTATAAAATGAAAACATTTTCACCGGCCTAAGTAAATCTGATGTATTTTTATTGTGCAAAACAGTAAAAACAAAACTGGACAAACATATCGATAAAGCTATGTCAATATTGCTTTCGATGCTAAATGTTTCACATCTTAATTTCTACAAAGCTAAAGTTGGCCTCTTTGCAGTTGCTCCGTTTAAGGTGGAACAGAAAATTCAAACAAAAAGCTACATTACATTCTGACACTGATTGGGGGACTGATTGTAACTGTTGCAGCATTTAAGGTGGATCGAGAAATTCAGATGATATGCCATCCATAGCTTCATTGAATTTCATTGAAGTAATTTGTCTCATGTGTGCATTGCATACGCTCATGCTTCCAACCAACAGACATGCTGAAATTTAGAAAATATTACAGTCATGACGCAGCTGACCAAGTTGTTTTATGAAAGGAAACAAATGCTCTCTGGTGTGTATGTCAGGCTATGGTTAATCCCCCTAAAAATCAACCATTCCTTTATGTCCGCTGCCTCGAAAACAAAGTGGAGTACTTTAGATGCAACGGACTAGACAGCAGGAGGTGATTGAGTGACTGGTGCGTTTTTATTTTCATTTGAATGTTGCATCCCAGGCTTGGGAAAATGGGTAACATTAGCCTGGTTTGCATTGCTTGTATGTCACATTATCTGCACTTATTTGTAGCATACATGTATAATGGTTGTGACAAAACTCACACCTGAGGAAGAATTTCAGCTACTACTACTACAGGTCATGAAAGCCATTCTAACTGTTGGCTTTTATGCCCAACTATTTTCCATTATTCAGTTGCCCTGGTAGGACTTTGGCTAAAACTAATTTAACGTATGTTTGTAGGTGCTCTTTTATTTGCTAACCTTTCATGAAGCTCTCCTGTGCTCCTGCAGCTATGTCGACAGTTGGAGGGAACTCTGAAGGTGCTCCCTGTGTCTTTCCATTCACTTTCCTGGGCAAAACCTATGACTCATGCACTACCTCCGGCCGTAGTGATGGGAAAATGTGGTGCGCTGTCACCAAGAGTTTTGATGATGACCGCAAGTGGGGTTTCTGTCCTGATCAAGGTGACTAATCATATGACTTATGATTATTAGAGGTAAAATATAACATACAGTAGATTCCAATGGTCAATTTTGCATTTTGTCCAGTCATTATTGAGCTAAAAAGGGCCATTTCAACTGAGACCAAACTACTGTTTTCCAGGCTACAGTCTCTTTCTGGTGGCAGCTCATGAATTTGGCCATGCTTTGGGCCTGGAGCACTCTGAAGACCCTGGTGCTCTCATGGCTCCCATCTACACCTACACTAAGCACTTCAGGCTGTCCAACGATGACATCAGAGGCATCCAGCACCTCTACGGTGAGCATAGAGGCTAATAAAGAACAAGCAGACATATAAATAAAAAGCAACACAACCAACTGAAAACTACTTTTCACTTCCTCTCTCTTTCTCTTTCAGGTGTGCCAACAGACAAGCCTCTTCCGCCCACTCAGGGTCCAGTCACTCCTATGGATATCTGCAGTGAGAACATCATATTTGATGCTATAGCACAGATCAGAGGAGAGACCTTCTTCTTTAAGGACAGGTAATTGTCAGATGCATTTTTAGAGATTCTTGAGCCAACTCTCGCTACAAGCAATATAACTTAAGGCCAGTGCCAAAGTTCATACTTGCTTTCAGGTCCAAGTCCAAGTGTGTCCCATTGAACACATCCTTTTCACAATGACCACACCCTTTCACGAAGACTGCATCCCATGGTTGGTTGCATTCTTACACTCTGTTTCGGAAATGTTGGGGAAGAACTATCATTGCAAGAACATTGGCTACCTGTCTCATGAAGATGTCATCCATATCCTCACACTTAACAAGTGCTGACGCACTTTCGATAAATTCCAGAATACATCACATTAGTGAGCTCTTAAGCAAAACTGCAAATGTGAACTATGGGACATGCCGCTAGTTTACTAGTGCAGTTTACAGATTCTTATTTACTATTTCAGTGGATGCAGTTGGCATGCTCATGTGTGTCTGTGTGATTGCATTGCAAGTTTGTAATTCTCACAGTTTTCTGTCTGTTATCAGTTTTATCCAGAATTTAATGGATTTTCAAGTGTAAAACAAAGCCTGTTAAAAGAGGCTTATGAGAGACAGTAACTTTAAAACTAGTAAGAGCCATTAAGGCTGAGTGACTTATTGAGCTGATGCAATATAAGTAGTATAAAACTGCATAATTCCCTTATCGAAGCCTCACATCTCAGAAATACTAATTTACAGATTTTAAAGTATATCACTGTAACGGGATATCAAATACAAGTAAATTGAGACCATTTCTGTGAAAAATTTATAAAAAATTATATAAAATTTTAGGACTACATCATTAAATGAATTTAACATAAAAAAATAAAATATTAAATGTGGATTGTGCCAACATTATGGCACGTTACACTTTTTTCCAATATCGAAAACTTCTAAGCAAATAAAAAAAAAGTGTTTTTAGATTTGCAGGAAAAAATGTGATGTTTTAATTTTTTTCTCTGTAGAGGTAAAATCTACACATTTGTCCAATTTAAACTTAGATGGCTTTTTTGTGCTGTCATAAAATCCAACTATTAAGCCTAAGGCAGTTTAGCCCCACCGATTCACGATGAAATTATATGAAGTGTTTCAGTCTTCACTGTTTTTTGAATGAGGCACATTACAGGGCAGCCAATCAGAATTATTATATCAGTTGTAAACGCACAGGAAAAAGGATGAAGGATAAAGAGAGGTTAAAAGGTGGTCATGTAAAAATGATTTATGACTGTTTTTGATACATAATGTACAAAAATGAAGCATTCTTCCAGGCTGTCTGTACCATTGAGGGTATAAAAAAGCAAAAAAGATGTTATTACACAACTATGCCAGTTTTTCATAAACATTTAAACTTCTATTTTACTGATCAGAAAGAACTTCAGAAATTGCAACATAGGGCAGGAAAATCTTGGGGAAAGGTTACTTTGAGTGGTAGGCTGGGAGGATATTTAGTGACTTCCAGGCAAGACATAATCACTTCATCTTTTTTGTGGTTTTAAAAGAATCTACTGCCAGGAAATGGGCCTGCGACCGCAGCAGGGAAATCTAACCTAGTTTATCTTCCAAAACAAAATCAGATCTGTTTGAAGTCATCTTAAGTAGGAATAATAATGTCATAAGTACTTGAGCAAATGATGTTTTAAAAGAGGGAAGTATTCAAGTTATGCCATTTGCAGCCACACTGCTATTCTGAGGTCCAGCAATGAAGCAACCGTGGATTTTTAGACTGACCTTAACTTACTTCACTGCGTGGAGTGAGTGTCTTTGTGTGTTTGCATATGTGTGTGCGTGTGTGTGTGTTTGTGGATAGGTGGGGTACAGTAACCACAGATCTCTCCACAGATTCCAAAGCTAAACTGTTGTACCTAAAACAATAGCATGCTTGATGGGAGCCTTTTGTCAGTCTGTTGTGCAGCCTACAAACAGTCTTGCTGACTGTACCATTTTTTTACAATTACATAAGTACGACCCACATAAGACATTCCATTCGTCTTCTGTAGACTTTCCAGCGCATCACCAAGTAGGGCATTAGTCAGGGACTGTATTTAGGGACTGAGTAGTAATGATTTTATATGCCAAACTCTTTTGGATAACTTGCAGGAGCAAAAATGAGAGATATTGCTGAACAGATTTGGCTGTGAAAGCCACAGAACTGGCATTTATATCTGTTTAACCCCTTAAATGGCCAGTGTCCACTAATGGGCACAAAGTTTTATTACACACTTTTATAACCTAAGAATAGCTCAGGCAGTTTGCACTGAAGTCCATGTAGTTACTTATTAGTAAGTTTTAGTATGTAATAAAGCATTAATTTGCTGAGCAATTAATGTCAGTTTGAAATACAAATCAATACAGGCGAAAACATGAAGTGCAATGCACACATGACATTACTTTTCCATAGTGACATGCAGAATGTGTGCCAAAATTGAAAGGCAAAATCTCTATTACATTACTTTTGTGTATTTTGTGTCAAACTCTTTACTGAAAAACAGTACATGAGAATTTACATTTAAAAGAAATGCTGAATTAGTGCAAGAATTGAATACAATCCTCCTTGAAATGTAATCAGTGCACAGGTATTTTGCTTTCCACCATACAGTACCTCAAACAAGGTTAAATCATTGTAATCTTTTACTTTTTTTATATTTTGCTGCATTCTCATGTTGCATGTGCATGTTACTGTTTAAATGCAATCTTTCATGTGCACTGCATTTCACTTTTTCACTGTTATGACTGCATGTATAGCACTGCATGGTGGAAAGCATTATAGATGTGCCTTGACCACATTTCAAGGTGGATTGCATTCAATTCTGACACAAATGATTCATTTCATTTTGGCACACATTTCGCATGTTACTATGGAAAAATAATGTTGTGTGCATTGAATTTCACATTTTCCCACTGCAAGAACTGATTTTCAACTTAAATTTTTATCCATAATCTGAGCTGTGTAGATAAAGTTGCTAACGCTAGAAGTCAGTAGTCACCCAAATCTTTTCTGTAAATACAGAAAATACCTCTTTCAACCCGCTTAAACCACATCCAGGTCTTCATTAAGGACATTGTTAACATCATTAGAATTGTGGACTCCTCCAGCACTAACCTAAGCATGGTGTTAGCCTTGTTCAAGCCTCCAGTTCCAACCTAAACAAGTAAAACTTGGACACCAAACTTAGTCAAAAGTTGATAATGCTTCTAACAATGAATGAAAGTAAATAGCTGCCAATTACCATTAAAGACTTGCCATTTGTTGCTAGCAGTGTAAGCATGTTTAGTCAACTCTTCCTTTATCCAGAGTGTGACTGCAAGTAAATCCCTCAGTGCTGCCAACACCCACACATAGACGCACTCCACACATACAGACATCCATCCAATCCAGATGTGCTCTGTCGGGGACCAGGTCTGTTGGGAGTAGCTAACCCAAATAATACAATGCTCTGTGCAGACGTCTTTGAAACACACACGTCAAAGAGATATAGAGTAGCTGATGGACTGGATGCAAAGCACACCTACGCATACACACTCTGTAGGTAAATTTCCAATGGAACATGCGACTCAGTGTCCAAAGCAAACAGCAGTGAACTGAAAGGCCTTCAGTAACAGAAGTTCGCTAACATCCTCTCAGAGCAGAGCTGATGGAGTGAGAGAGCCACCCACCATCCTGTACACAGACCCATCTTTAATACGAATAAAGTCCTTATGCCTCTGTGGCTAACAACGATAATCAGAAGACCACACACACACACATACTGAGTGTATGCAGGCTGTCGCTTAGCCGGAAATGATGTACTATAAAACTATCTTGAGGATTAGCTATCATGGCCATGTGCATTGACAAGTTGTGCTTGTATGTGAAATTTCTGTTTAAATTGTTTTAACTGGCACTTCTGACAGTGTGACCAGCAAATAACTAGCCATTTGTATTTTCATTCTCACTAAACACATTTTGGCAGCAGTTAGCTGAAGCTAGCTGTTTTGAAACAGCCAAACAAATACAAGGAAACTCCTCCATTCAATCTCTTCAAAGCCTTACACTTCACATGTGTTGCCAAGACTAGAACACTAAGCTTGAACGCTGGTGCTAAATTTGTAAAATGATGAGCAGACTTCTTTACAGCTAATCAGCTAGCTAACGTTAGCTTACACAGAACCTATACTATATGGACCCTTCTATATATTGAGTTCAAGTGTTTTAGCCAAACCTATTGATAACATGTATAAAATCACAAATACAGCCATACAATCTCTGTAGGCAAACATAGGCAGTTTGTGAAAATTTTTCCCTGCTAGATCTGCATCAGTCAGCTTTAGGTGCTATTATTTAAGTGTCTAGGAGCAACAGCTCATCCAAGAAGTGGTAGACCACACAAACTCACAGAGTGGGGCTGCTGAGTGCTGAAGCACTTAGGGTGTAAAAATCATCTACCCTCTGTTGCATCACTCACTACAGTGTTCCAAACTGCCTCTGGAAGCAAAATCAGCAAAGTAACTTTGCGTCAGGAGCTTCATTAAATGGGCCTCTATTGTCAAACAGTTGCACACCTGCGTAAGATCACTATGTGCAATGCCAAGTGTCAGCTGGAGTGGTGTACAGCATGCTGCCGCTGGACTGGTGTTCTCTGGAGAGACGAATCATGCTCTATTACTGGCAGTATGATGGACAAATCTGGATTTGGCAGATGGCAGGAGACCAGTCGTGGTCTGGGGCTGTTTTTTTCAGGGCCCCTTAGCTACAGTGGAGAGTAATGTGAAGGACAGTGTTAATGCTTCTTCTATTGTTACAAGCTTGGCATTGTAACAATAACAGAACCCTTTTTGGTTCTATACAGAACCCTTTTCAAAAAGGTTCTACATTCTCCATCAATTTGATGAACAATTTCATCATGCAAAGAACTGTTTAAGCATGCAAATGGTTCTTTGAGTGTTCATAGTTCTATATAACTTACTAAATAATACTTGAAGAATCATCTTTTGTAAGAGTATAGGGTTCTGCCAATAAAACCTGGCCATTCTCACCCCTGCTTTGAACCCATATCCTTTAAAACAGTCTCCTGTGGTGCCCAGTTAGGCTCAAATCCTCAACCTTCTAGCTGTGAATCAGTATGTCTAAACACTGAGATTCATGCCATAATTCAATAATCTGAGAATAATACACCATGTGCTTAAAAGAGTTTAATTTTCTTGCAAATGATTGAATTACTATTTAGTAACCAAAATGAGTGGAAATGTCATTGTGCAAGGGCTATGATAATAAACGTATTGCAGCATGATCGTGCATACTCAGAGTCAGCAAGTAAAGAGGCTTACTTTTCTGTGAGGGAGGATGACTTTAGCCTTCAGATATTCACACAGCTGGGTCACTTGCCACAGCTGTTCAAACCATCAGGGAGACAGAGACAAACAGTGAGAGGGTGAAAGACTCATCTATGGCTCACATCCTTTACTGTATTTGTGCAGCTGCCTGGAAATCCACATTTCTTCTCTTATTATTGCCTTAAATCTAGCATATTACATTAATACATTTTTTATCTCCAGTTTAATTGAAGTCCTGGACTTTTCCACTGAGTCGGAGGAGCTTTAGGCAGTTTTCTCCTGCTGTCCTGTTGGAGCATGTGTAAGAAGGGAATGCTGACATGTCTGGATTCACTGAAGGCGCAGTGTTGCTGCTAACGCTGTGCTAGCAGGGCGTGGTGTCTGGAGGCTAGCCATTTGATCACCTCTCATTAAACCTTGTTTGCCATTCCAAACCTGTCTGGAGGTATAGGCAGAGTGCATTCTTGTAGGAACACTGTTGTTTTAATTAGCGTGAGGTAATGGAGAAACTACATGCACAAATTTGTCTTTGTTTTCTAATCGTTTGCTGTTTTGTCTGGGACTAAATCTCATACCTTTTTTCCTATAAAGGGTCTCAAATCATGGAAATGTTTTTTTTTTAAGTTTGATATAGTATGTAAGCATATATATATATATATATATATATATATATATATATATATATGTATATGTATGTATGTATGTATATATATATATATATATATATATATATATATAAAGCTGCAAGAGTTTTGTTTTTGTTACTTGCACATATCCACCGATTCAGTCCACAGCAGTTTAGCACCGCCCATTCACACTGTCATAAGGAGTGTTTTGGCTCAGATTTTTTGAATGAACATGGCCGGCAATCAGAATTACAACAGTTTTTGGTACATAAACCCACACGAACAAATAAAAAAGTGGATTTTTGTCCTAGGGAAAAAAATAAAATGCAAGAAAAACATAGGATATGGGTCTCAAAAGGCAGCTTTATAAAATATAATGTTGTAAATAAAATGATTAAGGTAAAAGCCAAAGAGTATGAATACAAAAGTAAAAAGGAATATAGTGGAATTAAGTGCTTTGACTGGGGGTCAACTTTTGGATACAACCTAAACTTTGTCTTAATTTAAAGCTAGGCTTAGGTCTGAAAACTGATAACTAAGAGGAAAGAGTTAAAGGTGACTCTTGCAGCAACAAGCCTGATAAGATAATCTCAGATAATCAGCTAGACAACCTAAGAAAAATGACTTATAGACTTATAGAAAAAAAGATCTTTCCTGTCTGGTTCGTTCCTCTGCATCATATGTGACTCAAAGGGTGGATGTAATGAGTTAAAGTTTACAGTAGCCAGAAGTGGGTCGTATTTGCTACGCATCGAAATGCGGTGTCCAGATCTGCCTTTTCAGAGGTTGAAATATTTTGGCCATTGGAAAAATAGGTCAGTGGAAAAGGGGTTGGGGGGGAAGTGGGTATTGTTGCTGTGCTGAATGCTGGAAAAGCGGGCGAGTTTGGGCCTGTTCCGCTGGCTCTGCTCTCTCAGCCCGCTGCCATAATGAGAAACAGATGCTGAAATGAATCACCCCATTGTGGCCAGGCCATAGATCGACTAATACAGACTCTGTCTCTCTCTCTCTCTCTCTCTCTCTCTCTCTCTCTCTCTCTCTCTCTTTTTCTCTCTCCCTGTCTCTCAGTCTCTCACTGTCTCTCACTCCTCCTCTTTTTCTCTCTCGCCTCTGGCTGCCGGTTCTCTCCCTATTTTGATGTGAAGTTGTCGTATTACTCATAACCCCCTCCCTTGGTTTCTCCATTTTGATTTGTTTGTAGTGTCATTCAAGTTCAGCAATTCATAAGTCATGCCTAGTTCATGACATTCTCTCTCTCTCACTCTCTCTCTGTCTCTCTCTCTCTCTCTGTCTCTCTCTCTCTCAGGTTCCTCTTCAGGAGTCCTAATCAACAAACAAAGCCAACAGGCCCGCTGTTGGTGGCCACATTCTGGAGTGAGCTCCCTGAGAAGATAGATGCTGCCTATGAAAACCCTCTGGAGGAAAAGACAGTGTTCTTTGCAGGTGAAGTTGCACAGCAACATGATAGCGAAAGCAATGAATTATGGCTAATTTTGAGCAGAAATAAAAAAAATGTAGCCAGTACATAACTAGCAGACACAAATCTGAACAGTTTTATACACATAAAATAATAATATTTTTCACAAAAAAGTTTACTTAATTGCAGAAAATATGTGTTTCGGTAGTGACAAATAATGTTACACGCTGATTTTTAGACTTTGGGACATGTTTACTTCAAAACGTTGAGAAGTAAGACTCCATTTACACCTGGTCACTTAATGTGACTAGTATCTGGATTATATCTTGAGAAGATTTTATCCACGTGCATTTAGTCGGACTGAAATCTAATTGCTTTGTGGGACAGAGTATGCAAATACGCTCGTTACATGGCTACCAATTATCAGTTGTTTATCCGTTCAGCCTCTTCATCTGCAGTTTGTTTTGCACAGTAGTGTCTGTCCATATTGTTGCATTTCATTTCATCTGGTTCCCAACCATGTGCGTCCTCTATCATATATTGTTCTCATAGACACGGATCACATGCTGATGGGGAGGAGTCTCGGATGTACTGGGAGGGGATTTGGTTGTTGAACGTGTTTTAGAGAGACGGGTGCGTTTACACTGCTATATTGTGGCGCAAATGCATCTCAGAGCACCTCCTGAAGTGGTTTGAGTGATCAGATTTGTATCTGTTTTAAACAAGTCTTGGATGCATTTACACTTGCATTCTTACATGGCTTGGCCTTATCCACATACAGTCCTGATACTCAAGATGGATAGAGTGATCAGGTGTAAATGGGGTCTAACTGCTCACCATGTGGCCATGAAGGACAGGGACAGTCTCACTTCCTGCTCTACAATACAGTGGTGGGGATAACTGTGTTTGGGTAGTGACATGAAAAATTGGTACAGCATTTTTTAAAAAAATGTTTGTTATTTTAAAACTTGAACTCTGATAAATCTGAATCTTTGAACTTTACTTTAAAAGAAATCAAAAAGTTATTTAAAAAATGTAAGTATTATTTTCATGAGTTGAAATGTAGGGGTAGGGGTTTGTGCCGGGCGCCTCTCAACAGAAAGTACCCTATACATGATGATTTTGTATATATTAGCTTATTACTATCTCAATTTATAATTCTTGTAAATATCTAATGTCTAAATGCTTAATTGTTTCTTTTTTATTGTTTTTTTTTCTGTGGGTCTTCAGTTGAACTAATTCAGTAGAATTGCCCATGTTTGATATCAGTCTGAACAGACTGTGCTCCTGAACTGAACCACATGCACAAAAGAACACTGATCCACCTGGCACACTCATCCAAAAACACAGCTGCCCTCTACATTTCCTTAAGATTAATAGGCTTCTGTCTCATTACATCAAACTTTTACATGTTCAAACTGCTTGTTTAAACTTGCAGGACAAACAGCAGACACTAAAATGACCACCACAGAGAAAATAAGAAGCACAGTTTCTTTCTCCTATCTCATTTTAAACTTAGGAAACATTTTTTTGAAAAGTAAATTTGATTTTGAATAGCTGTTAGTTTGCTTTGTCTCATTATTAAGTGCTGAATTTACTTGTTTACACTATCCGCACTTGTCTCTCTCGTCCTGAAAAACGAAATATGCAAAGCATCATCATAGTAACGGGTATGTTGATGTTACCATAAAGGGTCTATTCTTGGTCTGTTGTGTGAGGTTGACGTAAAAGTCATGTGAATTCCGATCTGACTGTTCAGACAGTTTTAATACTGCCACATATCATATACATATTGGATTTAGGTGACATCTGATTCAGTGTGTTTTCTGTTGTTTGCACTGCCATCTGTGTCCTATTTGAAGAAAAAGGATCAGATTTGGTCCACTTTAATCTTTATTATGAACATAACCTTAGTGTTACTGAAATAAATCATGTAATTGTGTTCACCTGTGCTTACGTAGTAATAATAAGAAGAAGAAGAAGAGGAAGAAGAAGAAAAACATTAATAACTTTAAGTAGCATCTTTCATGCTTAACAAAGACACAGTGTCGTTGATGCAAGGCACTGCTTATATAAGCACCAAAAAAATTTGGGGCTAATAGCACCCCCTTGTGGACAGTTTTCTGTCTGTTAAACATGAGTTAGTAAGTGAGTGAGAGACATAGAAAGATTGAGAGAAAGAGAGAGACATAAAGAGAGAGGGGGAGAAAGAGAAGCCAGGTCCATGAGGTGCTTTGTGTTCAAAAAGGCAGCTAAAAGTGTATCACACTTTATTTACATAAAACCATAAAAAGTTGCAAAACAGTACATTGCATATCTGTTTACTAAGTGTAAAACAGTGGAAGGGAAAAAAAGAAAGCATAAAGTAGAAATAAAAATAGTAAAAGGAAATTAAAATAATTAGTATTAGTAATATACATACATATATATTTAAATTGGATAATAAATCAAATGCAACAAAAAAGAACGTAATAAAATGCTAGCTTGCAGTGGCACATAACAGATCAAGAAGCCATTTTTTAAAGGTCACACGTCATGAAAAAAACCACAATGTCCTCACTTTTTTAAACAGAGAAGTTTGAAGTAGTATGTAAAAGTTGTTAAAGTTTCAAGATGTACTATTTACTTACAAGTGTAGCCTGTTTTGAAATCATTGTTTTTGTGATGTCACAAAACCCAACACACTTACATATAGCCGCCATTCAGCCTACTTCAGTTAAGCTCTGCCCATTCACGCTGGAGTTATACAGAGTGTTTCAGCCTAAACTGCTTTTTGAATGAGACTCAATACAGGGTGGTCAATCAGAACAGAGCTCATTTACATATATCAGTGTTAAAGGCACAGCAACAAGAACAACCTGTTTAATTCAAAGCAAACTGGTCATGTAAAAATTAATAATTTTGTTACATAAAACTACACAAATGTCAAAAGTCAACCTCAGAGAGAAATTTAAATAAAAAGAAAATGTAACATATGGACCTTTAAGGAAAATCAGATTTCTAAATATGTATTAACACTGCAATCAAATTTATTCCCTGCGTTTCTATCCATAGTGTTTAGTTCAGTCCTTTACAATATACTGTACAGCATTGCTAAGACTGCTTTTCAGAATTCTGCTGAGCATCTTTTTTAAATGTGAGCTATTGAGCATGTTCCTTTATTTCTCCATTACTTAACAGTGGTGTAATATCCTGTTTCACAGTGGTTTATTTAACCTCTGTGGAATCTCTTACACATGGATTATGGACTAAAGAGTTCAGCAGGTTTAAGAGATTTATACATTTGTGCACTTCTGTACCTTTTAACTCCAGATGCTATCCTTGGCATATCAGGACTTTGGTGGCTTGTATGCAGCTATGACAGTTTTATGAATTGCAGTGCCAATAATAACAATAAAAAAGCTTTGAAAAGCTAGGTCTGTGGTGTTATACCTGGGAGAAAATGGGTTCTGAACATGATTAAATGTAAGTAAAGTTGAGGCATTGGCCAGATGAAAACCTCCTTGGAAAGCAAAGCATAGCTGGACTTCACAGTACACTGCATTATAAACAAATTCACAGTAAGTAGAGCAGGTCAAAGCTTTGCAGCATGATTATTTTGTTAGTAAAAGCACACTGTAACCTAGACATACACAAATACTCTGCTTATCTTGATGAAGAATTGACCATGACTATTGTGAAGTGTTGATATGATTGATAAAAGCAGATTATACCATAAACATTTTAATCATCTCTTGATAAGTAACAATGACTATTTAGTTTACTAAATTCTTAACAATGATAGATGTCTGATGCAAAGGACCAATCTAATGAAGCATCAAAAGCTATTTTACTGCTAATGGCACCCTCTTGTGAAGAATTTGTGGCCTCTTAAACATGAGTGAAAGAGTAGGTCACAATCGACTTCCATGAGGTGCTTTGCATCTAAAAATACTTCACATACATCCTAACAGCATCTTTGTAGTCACATGAAAAATTTGATAATTGTCTTTGTTTGCATCACAGGTGATGAAATGTGGGTGTATTCGGCCAGTACTCTGGAAAGGGGCTATCCTAAGAAGATCTCTTCCATGGGCCTACCAACAGACCTGCACCGCGTAGATGCAGCCTATTCCTACCACAAGAGCAAGAAAACATATCTGTTCTCTGGAGACAAGTTCTGGAGGTACCAGCCAATTTTTTTTCTATTTACAACAGTGGTTAAATTAAGCTGTGATTTGCCCATCTGTTTGTTTCATGCTTACACCTAGGTAGTTATAAATATAGATGTACACTATATGACCCAAAGTATGTGGACCCCTCTCCTAATCATTGACCAGTTTTTCAGCCACACCCATTGCTAACAAGTGTATAAAATCAACCACAAAGCCATGTAATCTCCATAGACAAGCATTAGCAGTAGAATGGGTCATACTGAAGAGGTCAGTGATTTTAAATGTGGCACAGTTATAGGATACTACCTTTGCCACAAGTCAGTTCGGGAAATTTCTGCCCTGTTAGATCTGCCCTTGTCAACTATAAGTGCTTTTATTCTGAAATGAAAGCTGGCAGTCTAAAGGACGAAGCTGGTTCAGGAGAACGCTACCGAACTGACTGCATAGTACCAACAGTAAAGTTTGGTAGAGGAGGGATAATGGTCTGGGGCTGTTTTTCAGATTTTGGGCAAGGCCCTTTCGGTTCAGTGAAGGGTAATGTAAATGCTACACCAAGACATTTTAGACAATTATATGGGGAAAGCCCTTTCATGTTCCAGCATGACTGTGCCCCTGTGCACAAAGCGAGATCCATAAAGACATGGTCTGGTAGTTCTGGTAGTTGATATGGTTTGACATTAAGCAGATTAACAGGCTAACTAGCTTACTCTAGCTGATTTTAGCTAGGTCCATAAACAGTGAAAAGGCATATTGGCACATAGTATAGGGAGTAAAAAGCCTCATGTAGAAGACAAGTTTTCATCAGTGTCCGATGGCATACCAGTAAGGTGTGCTTTAGTTTTAGCAGATAAGCTCATCTGAGGCAGCCTTGATTGCTCATCCCACAGGAAAACCTACAGATTTCCCTTGACTATTTTTGAATAATAAAAGATGTTTTCACTATTGAAGCCTTGTGACAACAGTGCTGTCATCTGAAATGTAAGCTTACAGTCCTAAGTCTGTTTTTTTTTTCCTTTTTGTTGTAGAATTTTCCTACTCTGGGGTTAACTGGATATGCATTCATTAACTGCTATGGATACTTGAATATCGAAATTAGTTGAAATACACTAGTTACAGCGAAATTAGTTGAAATACTCTAGTTACAGCGATATAAACCTTCTAAGCATTATCCATCTATGGGGAAGCAGGGGGAGGGAGGTTAAATCCAGCTACACTTCCAAAAAACACACACAAAATGGAATAAAAAATGCTAATTGTAAGGGGGGAACTATGGAAGTGGTGTGGTCTGTTGGCATGTAAGCAGCCCTGATTTGCGCTGTAATAACTGTACAGGTACAATGAAGCCAAGAAGAAGATGGATCCAGGCTTTCCCAAACTTATTGCTGATTCCTGGAATGGTGTTCCTGATGATTTGGACGCTGCCTTCAGTATGAACGGAAAGGGTAAGAGTCTATGTCAGAAAAAAGCTTATACTGTTTTTTTTTGGGGGGGGGTAGGGGGGGAGGGGTTTGTGTGACTGACCAGAAATATCTTACACAACACTTAATGGGTAAAGTTAATATCGCAAATAAAAACAATATAACCATGACATTTCTGAGGTAAAATATTGCTGTGTGGGAAATCTGAACCAGATGGTTAGAAATCTGTTGTTGGCAAAGCACTGACATGTTGATTTGGTGCAAGTTGTTCTTAGGGTTAGTGTAACTCTAGCCGTTGTCTGACCCTGTGCATGTGGGTGTATCTGTGTGTGGGTGAGTGATTTCAGAGAACCAGTCTGGAGTCTGTTACAGAGTCCTTGCCAGTTACACTCAAACCTCATTTCCATCTAGCATTAGGCCATCACTAGCAATAAAAAGCCATCATCTGGACTGTAAATGGGAGCATTTTATTCACAGCTTTAGAGCCTGTCTCATTTCTTAGTACTAGAACTTGTTATTGAAATGCATTTTAGTCAAACAAGTTGCAGTTTCATCAGGTTTTATACATATGCAGGGTAGCAGCTCTTAACATGGTCCCACTATGGTGTCACATTACACCGATCAGGCATAACATTATGACCATGATCCTTGTTTCTATGCTCATTGTCCATTTTATCAGCTCCACTTACTGAATAGGTGCACTTTGTAGTTCTACAATTACAGACTGTAGTCCATTTGTTTCTCTGCATACTTTGTTAGCCCCCTTTTACCCTGTTCTTCAGTGGTCAGGACCCCCATGGACCCTCACAGAGCAGGTACTATTTGGGTGGTGGATCATTCTCAGCACTGCAGTAACACTGACGTGGTGGTGGTGTGTTAGTGTGTGTTGTGCTGGTCTGAGTGGATCAGACACAGCAGTGCTGCTGGAGTTTTTAAACACTGTGTCCACTGACTGTCCACTCTATTAGACACTCCTACCTTGTCAGTCAACCTTGTAGATGTAAAGTCAGAGACAATAGCTCATCTACTGCTGCACAGTTTGTGTTGGTCATCCTCTCGTCCTTCATCAGTGGTCACAGGACGCTGCCCACAGGATGCTGTTGGCTGGATATTTTTGGTTGGTGGGCTATTCTCAGTCCAACAGTGACACTGAGGTGTTTAAAATCTCCAGCTGCACTGCTGTGTCTGATCCACTCAGACCAGCGCAACACACACTAATCCACCACCACCACATCAGTGTTACTGCAGTGCTGAGAATGATCCACCACCCAAATAGTACCTGCTTTGTGAGGGTCCATGACCACTGAAGAGCAGGGTAAAAGGGGGCTAACAAAATATGCAGAGAAACAGATGGACTACAGTCTGTAATTGTAGAACTACAAACTGCACCTATATAGTATATAGATAAAATGGACAATGAGCATAGAAAAAGGAGGTGGTCATAATGTAATGCCTTGTAACATAAGCATGAAGAGAAAGGGAGAAAGGGAGTGGAAGATGTTGGGTAAGGCAGTAACCATTGTCTCTCCGATCCCACTACTGAATTGCCTGCTCTTGGAAAATAAATATATAGAAAGAACTTCCAGTTAGGCAACATGCAACATGTTTGGTTTCTTTATGCTCAGTCAAAGTCCTTTGTTGGGGAAACACTGTTTTGAAGCTTTAGAAAAAGACTTAATATACTGCGGCTTTTTGCCCTTAGTATCCTTGCTTGAGGAGTACTATCATATGTCTAGAATCAAACAAAGTTAATATTTTACTCTGTCAGGTGTGAAAACCTGAGCCAAAGGCACTCATTCTGTGGCCACTAGGATAGATGCTAATAGTGTCAGCTTTTTAATTTTTTTTGCCTCGTGTCAGACTCTCTAAAAAGTAATAATTGTAATTATAGCAGTCAACCTCCCAATACGTCCTAGTTCACATTCAGGTGTTCTTATTCGTCATGTAATAGTTCCAGGTGACTTGTTCTGGAGGAGTACAGAATTTGTTAAATTGTCATTAGCTTCAGCTGCAAGTGTTGGCAAACGCAGAGGATCCCTCAGTGAGATTAAGGCCCTGTTTGAGCTGGGTTAGTTTTACCTGGCAAGTTGCTGTGATTTGAGTTATAACCAAGGAGATCTGTGCTTTTAATCCAGTATGAATCTGCAATGCCTGTAGTTTTTACAAGCAACAGTTCCAGAGCAAATTACCCTCTGTAGCCCTATTTGAGCTGGAATAGTTTTACCACAGGATGTGATTTGTACATGATTTAGCTGGTTAACTCGTACAGGATAAAGAATCTGTAATTTTCTCAAATTACCCCTGAATAGCCCGGATCAAAATATTGCGCATACGTTTATGCCAACACTATGCGACAGATGCCACACTTCCGAACAATAACAACACGTTATGCGGCCAAATGGCAAATGAAGATTACATTTTCCGTCTACTTCGGCCATCACCAAAAATGTGGATTTTAGTTTTGTCTTGAACTTGAGGATTAAAGAATTGGGTCAAATTAAGATCCATTTTATCTGTAAGCCTTGTCTTCAGGTTGTGAATAAAACATGGAAAAAATGGAGACACCACTTTTCATTACCTGGTGTTGTTATTACATGACTGTGTTGTTGATTTAAAAAGGACTGCTATTACTGACGGAGCACACAGATTGGCGCATTATAAAATGTAATTCGCTCCATAATTATTACTTAGCAGACTTGTAAAAACTATGGACATTACAGATTCATACTGGATTAAAATCACGGATCTCATCTATATTTACTCAAATTATAGCATGTCCCCAGATAAAACCAATCCAGCACGAATAGGGCTCATAATTCACTGAACTCAGAGTTCCCTCAGTAATAGCAGTCCAGTTCAAATCAACATTACAGTCATGTAATAACAAAACCGGGTAATTTTTTTTTTTTCTTTTTCTTGACCTGAAAACCAGGCTAACAGCTCAAATGGAGCTTGATTTGATTTAATTCCTTAATCCTCAAATTCATTACAAGACTACTGTAATATACAACATTTTTCGATGATGCACGAATTACAAGGTAAAAGAACATGAAATATCTCGAAAGAACCTCTTGCAGGGCAATGCATTTTCTGTCTTGTTGGGAGGCATTTGCTAAATTTAATGAACCAATGTTACTTTGGGGAAATTACACACATACTTTATCCTGTCAACCAGTCAAATCATGCACATTACCAGACCTTCTCTAGTAAAACTAATCCAGCTCAAATAGGGCTTGATACTGCTTATAGCAACTCTACTTGCTTTTTAAAGCTGGAAAATGTGTATAAGAATCCATTTCATAATTGGGTCCAGACATAACAGCCTCAAACATAACATTTTACCATTATTGTGAATGTTTGGTCTCTGTGTGTTTATTGTAATTTTCATGCTGACTGGATGAGTTTCCATCCAGAAGTACAGCCAAACTTGATGTATACAAACATTCTGATTTGGTCTATTAGCCTGCTAAACCTACTAAACGTTTTTAGTCCAGCCCACTTGAATGAGGTTGAGTGTAACATTGATCATCTTGCTTATTTCTACCATCACTAACACAAACAGCGTTAAGTGGATCTCAGGGAGAAAGAAAAGCAAGAAAAATGTAGAATATGGGCCATCTATGAATTACTGCATACAAAACATACACTTAAACTTATACTCCTACACACAGGAGAATACAGAACACACACACACATTTCTACAGAAAGCAACATGCACACACACTCAGACTTGCACTAGTACCCACAGGCACACACACGCTCTCTCTAAGAGAGCTGTTAAATAGAGCAAGTCTGTGTAATGTGTGAAAGGAGCCTCTGTGCTGGTAATTAACCACCTTAATGCTTGGAAAGCAGAGGTTGTGTCTTTCAGCAGTGATGGAGCGTCAGTGCTGATGAACAGATTTGTACATCACTGCTTCTGCCTCTTCTAAATGCTGGCACCTTCTTAAACAGACAGTTGCCATTTCCAGTGCAACTGCTTTATAATGAATGCTTTCCTTATAGTTCATTATGCTTCTCCCATTAACTTTACTGCATTTCCCCATTCTCAGCTGTGCTGCAAGAAGCTTTGCGTATTTACATAGCCTCATAAAACTGCCAACATCTCTCACAAAGCCAAGTCACACCAACAGAGCAGTGCTTGGATTGTGCTTTAATTTTTGCTCATTTTAAGAATCATTAACTTTTATTTTTATAACACCATTCATGCTTTGAATATGTGAATGCTTTCCAAAAGAAAAGAAAAGTGGTGAAAAACTAAAACAGAAAATAGACAAATGATAAATACAATAAATAAAAGCAGTTTGGAAAAAATATAATAACAAAATAATACAACCCAGTTTCCAAAAATGTTGGGATGTTTTGCAAAAGGTAAATAAAAACAGAATGCAATGATGTACAAATCATTTGTATTTTATATTTAACTGAAAATAATACAAAAGCAACATATCACATGTTGAAACTGAGAAGTTTTATTACCTTTTGAACAAAAATATGCCCATTTTGAATTTGATGTCAGCAAAATGTTTTGGAAAAAGTTGGAAGAGGGACAACAAAAGAATAGTAAATTTGTGAAATGCTAAAAAAAACACCTAGTGGAATATCTCATAACTGATCGGGTTAATTGGCAACAGGTCAGTAAGATGATTGGGTATAAAAAGAGCATTTCAGTGAGGATGAGTCTTTCAGAAGTAAAGATGGGGAGGGGTTGACCACTCTGTGAAAGACTGCACAGACAAATAGTGCAACAATTCAAGAATAACATTTCTTAACGTGAACTAGCAAAGGACTTTATCATCTACAGTACATAATATCGTTAAACAATTCAGAGAATCTGACTGAAAACCAGTATTGGCTGGCTGTGATCTTTGGGCCCTGTATTAAAGACAGTTACGATTCTGTAGTAGAAATCACTCATGGATTCAGGAACACTTCTGAAAACCATTGTCTGCAAACACAGTTAATTGCTACATCCACAAATGCAAGTTAAAACTCTACCATGCAGAAAACATATATAAACAGAAGATGGACTGGGGTGAAGTGGAGAAGTGTCCTGTGGTCCAACGAATCAAAAATTCAGATTCTTTAATGGACATCACAGACTTTGTCATCCAGGCTAAATAGGAAAAGGGACCATCCGGCTTGTTAAAAGCACACAGGTCAAAAGCCAACATCCATGATGGTATGGAGATTCATTTGTGTACATGGCATGGGTGAAAGCACTGCACGATATATACATGTTTTGGCAACATATGCTGCCATCCAGATGACGTCTTTTTCAGAAAAGGCCTTGCTTATTTCAGTAAGACAGTGCCAAATGAAGTTCTGCACCTATTACAACAGCATGGCTCTATAGTAAAAGAGTCTAGGTGCTAAACTTGCCTGCCTGCAGTTGAGACCTGTCATTCGTTGAAAACATTTGTCACATTATGAAATGAAAAGCACATCAAAGGAGACCCAGAACTATTGAACAGCTGAAAATCCTATATCAAGCAAGAACGGAAAAAAATCACTTTCAAAACTACAGCAATTGGTCTCCTCAGTTCCCAAACACTTACAGAGTGTGATGCAACACAGTAGTAAACATGCCCCCATCCCAACTTTTTAAAATTTTGTTGCTGGTATCAAATTTCAAATGGGCATGTGTTTTTCAAAAGACAATTACATTTCTCATTTTCAACATTTGATACGTTGTCTTTGTACCATTTTCAATTAAATATAGGCTTTACATGATTTGCACATCATTCCATTCTGTTTTCAGTTACATTTCCCAACTTTTTTGGAAAAAGAAACATACAAAACTGACAAAATAGGTATGGTATTTAAGTGAAGTAAATGTTAATTAAGTGTGTTGCAACTCCTTAAAATGCAGGCTTACTAATTGATTTTAAGACAAATTATTAAGTATTTACTATAAATTATTCAGTAAGTATTTAAAAAAAAACTATGTTCTCTACTAATAAGAGTTAGGTATGGAGGTATGAGTCCACATACTGATCCTAACAAGCCAGCAGGGTTAAACTGCAGACTTTATTATTCAGTAATTAATCATTAACCCCCTGGGATACTATAGCAACAACCTAGTAACAGTTTAGCAACCACCGGGAATACCCTTGCAACAGGCTAGTAACACCTTAGAAATCACCAAGCAACTCCTTGACTACAATCAGGAATATCATAGCAACCTTGTAGCAACATCATAGCAACTGCCTGCAATTACTATATAAGCCCAACTAACCCAAGTATTGTCAAAAACAGTCAACGGTGTTCTGCCCACTGCTTTTGAAACATTATTAGCTGGTTTTGTCAAGCCATCTTAAAGTCTGCAAACTGGTCCTTTTTATTTTTTTATTTTTTTTATTTTTGTCTCAATCATTTATTCCTCTGGCATTGTTTCAGCTTTCTGTGATGTTCTTGTTCTTGTTTACTCTACAGGCCACAGCTACTTCTTCAAAGACTCCCACTATCTGAAAATGGATGAGAGCCTGAAGATCGTCAAAGTTGGCGAGGTGAAAACGGACTGGCTGCGTTGCTGAGCAACAGCACAATCCTGAGCCACAAGGTGAACTTTAACCTTGGGTCACCACATCACATTCCACCATGGTCAGACTGTTCTCTCCCTCAGCCTGGTGAGGACACTCTAGCCTTAGCTAGCCTGTGAGGCTTTATCATAGTCATTAAGCTCTGGGTCTCTTCCGTAATGGAACATGGCTAACACCAGAGAGATAATAAAACCATTTTGTATTGTTATACTGTGTGATATTTGCTGTTTATTTTCATTGTTAAAGTGTTTTTTGTTTCTTTTTTTGGCCTCTTTAAAAGAAAAAAAAAATCATTTGTGTATTACCATATTTGCAAAGACATCAGGTATGTCCCCACTGAACATTCATGCAGTTTTTGCCTCATTGTAGTATAGTTATTGTCACTTAAACTGGATTCATTCAAGTAGGACTGCACAAGTACAATTATGAGGGCAACAGTGTGAGCAATGTTTCAGAAATGTTTTGAAAAGCATTCACAATAATCACGTTAAATGGATTGTGGAAAAGTAAAGTAATCTGACGCAGTTCTTTTAAATGTATATCAGATACAAGTTTTACATTTCATAAGCGATAGCACTTTGTACATTGATTCTAATTGTGTTCTGCAGTAACACAGAGACCAAACATATCAGTAGCACACAAAGTTTTACTTCTCGTCTGTCTTTGATTCCTTTCATGAGAGTATTTCATGACGTCATTCAGGGCACGGGTTGCCTGAGATTGTATAGGGGTTTGTGGCATGATGGACTCATGACTAGAAAGTATCATGAAAATGCTGTTGATTAATCGTATGTACTATTATTTTTATCTTTTGAGTTGGCATTATAATTTTTTTTTATTTGCTTTGTGCACTTTGTCACTACATGTAATTCTGAAAATAAAGACAGATTGTCTAATATTCCTGTATCTGTGCTTGCTTGCTTGCTTGTTTAAACAGTTTAAAAAGTCAAAAGTGGTCTATGGCAGTTTATGTCAGTTAAGCATAGGAACAATTATGTGTACATCCACTAGTACTACAAAGCAACTGAAAACATCTTGAATCTAGTTCCCTCATTATTCCTGTTCTTCATTATGAGAGTGGTGTAAGAATATTATAAGGTTAATTAACTTTTTCTAGGCATTTTTACCTGTTTTAAGTAATGTTATTTTATGAAAACATCCTGTTTTATTGGCAGATAATTTCACTACTTTTAATCATTATTTCTTTAAACTAGCACAGCTACTTGTATTATATCTTGAAACAAATAAAACGATCTGGCAATGGAATAAGACACTTTAAATATTTATGTAAAATGACTTAAAGCAAATGCAAATGTGTAGAAATAGGTGGAATAAGCGTATAATGTTACAAGAATCTCATATACGAGAAATTTTATATGTATTGACTACATTTAAGAAGTTTTCACGTATAACGATGTAATTTTTGCAGTTTTTGTGTCTCTTTCATTTTAGAATGTCCATTTAATTGTTAGACAAACATCTGATCACTTTATTGTATAACATCTACCTTGTACTTGCACTCACTCACCACTTTATGACCAAAGTCCTAGATCTGGCATGATCATGCAATTTTAGCTGAATTGCCATATGAGAAATTGCTAATGATGATTTAATTGTCTTTTATTGTTCACTGTATGGAACTACTACAATATCCTCAAGTGGACAATTGGCTGATTAGCTATATGTCTTCTTAGCTGTGTTTACTTAGTAGCTAACACAGGTTGCACTGTCAAAATGATACACTACACTGCTGTGTGTGTGCAGTGTCAGTCATACAGATTCATGTGTAGAGTCAAGGCTAAATTTTTTTCTTGTGAGTGAAAATATAGACATAACAACACTCTGTTAGCATACATGCTTAAAACTGTTACATAACTAACAAATAAACAAACCTCACCTGTACTGCCCTCTAAATGTGTTATAGAACCAAGTTAGACATGATGTGTCACAATAAAAATACACTGATTTGGCCTTAACTTAGTGCAAACAATATAAATTCTGCTTGTCACAGCATAATATGAATGTGAAATCTAACAATTGTGGAGGAGAATTGTAGTTAGCCTAAATAATTGCGCTTAAGAGATACTGTAATAATAACGTAATTGTGATTATGTAATAATTGTGACAAGCCTAATTAGACTATTGTCTAAGCATGTGTCAGGCTCCAATTTTGCGGGCCAAAATACTGCAGACTTCAGCATGCTGCCTCATTAAACACACCTGATTCAGCTCCTCAGCTAATTAGCAAGAACTTTGTGAACTGAATTCAGAGCATTAGACGAGGGTAAACAATAATATCTGCAGCACTTTGGCCCGGAAGGTCCCAAGTTTGACAAGCCTGATCTAAGGGTACCCACAAAGTAGGCATATATTGGTCTGCTGGCTTATTAAGGTCCGGCACCCCGCTGACTGTATGCCAGCTGCTAGTCTGACCGCCCAGATTATTGTCCTGCATACAAGGTCTAACTAGTTTTAATCTTCTCAAACAGATTTTAAATGCACATAGACTTTTATATTGGAAAAGCTAAGCTAATACAAATATTATAAACAACTGAGAGGAAAAAAATACTTACTAGACCTATGTAAAATTGTAAAATGTTAATAGTGGAATGAGGGCCAAAAAGACAAAACAAAATACAAATAAAGAAAGCAGAATTTACAAATGTAATTTATAACATTACACATTAACATTACATTTTGTTACAGAAATGCTTAACAAATACGACTGTAAAAGGAAAATAAGAATTTAATAAATTGTATATAGTTTAAAAATATGTTTGTTCTCATATTGAGTGCAAGGGTGCCTTTAGAGTTACTTTCTGGCAGGCCAAATTAAGTGTCCTCATGTCCAAATTTGGCCCATGGGTCACACCTTGCTCTCATCTACTGTCATCCATGATTTGTCAGCCACCCTTGAATCCATTCATCATTGGTCATTTTCTGACCATCCAGATATCATTTGGGTGGTTGTCCATTCTCAGCACAGCAGTGACATTGACATTGTGGTGGCATGGTCATATATGTATGGTGTTTGTAGGAGGGTAGCAAATACAAAGAAGTATTGCTGGAATTTTTACACATCAGTGGCACTACTAGCCAGCAAACTGCAGATACTGCTGTAAAAAACTGACCATTTTTGAAGATGGCTGACACAACTTGTGCATGTTAAAAGATGGGATGTATTTTGTAACTGTATGATGTTCAGGTGGACAGTGCAGGTTTTTCTAATAAAGTGGACGGTGGTGCACAGAGGCCTCCAGACGGCCTTCATCATTTAACAGTTGAATAAACAGCGACACCTTGTGGCTGTTCACAAGAAGGCTGTGCTACGTCATTCACGCCCTTAAATATTACTTACTAATGCATTACACAGGATGCCAGCGTCATGTTTCACTGTCAGCATTAGTAGAGATAAACGTGTGCCAACAGTACTCCGGATCTATCTATCTATCTATCTATATATATATATATATATATATATATATATATATATATATATATATATATGATGTTGGCCCTTTCTTGAGGGATTATTTTGTCTTAAACACCCTTTATGTATCCCTCCAACATGAACAGATTAAAATAAATTGATTAAAATACGTTTTAGCCCAAAACTTTAACACAAAACTACAGTGAAACAGATATCAAGCTAAGTATTCATAACCATTTCATGTAATGACGTTCTGTGAGGGAGGATTTAGAGGTGTCAGCTCTACCACCACTGTGAACAATTCTGACTCGGAAAGATTCTGTAGAGCGAAACATTTCACACTAAACCACTCTGAATAACTTTCTTTACGCCTTAACGATTTCACTATGCAGAAATTTCGAAAAATCAGTGGAAACCCCCTTTAAGCTAGCGAATAGGAAGCTGGTCTCAGTTCGTGATTACACCAGCAATGGCGAGGGCAGCAGTCGCCTCACGGTGTCACTGCACCTCAGAAGAGGATTAGCTTTAGGGGAGGCTGGGTAAACGTTAAAAAAAACCTTCCTGACAGGGAGCTGATAACACCTCAGGAGGGGAGACGGAAGGTAGAGCCTGGCCCACATTGCGCAACGGGCCAAGATGCACATCAAGGAAGTTTCTCATCCGTAGCGGCAGATGAAGCAGGGAGAGGCTCGCGGCGATCAGTGTGTAATCATGCCTCCCCAAAGAGTGTTCGCTCTGCCCAGGCAGCAGTCTCTGTTTCTGCCCGCTGTTCTCAACCCCTTTGTGCTGGAAGCAAAGCTGACCAGAAGAGAGAAAATTAAAGTGAGTACTGAGTATATTTTTTCCTGATTTCATGCCTACATTTCCCTACATCTGTATGCACTATGTCTGTCTGCTAACGTACGGCTGGGTTAAGAATGGCAGGGAATGCAGTACTGTGCTATGGCTAACGCGTCCACTGACTGGTTGTAGTAGTTAATCTAATCCGATAAAGCCTCTGGCCATCCGTGTACTCTCCTAAGAGCAGCCCAGGGTTAGATAAGGCGTGTAAACACAAGTATTCTCACATTCCGGTGTTCTGACGAAATGTTCTACCACAGCGCTTATGGGTAGCTCCGTACATAAAACTGTAGGAATGATATATAGTTACCTTAAATCTCTGGGAAAGAAAAGGCTACCAGCAGCAAAACTACAGACAGGATATTCGATAGTCTAAATCATCTTGTCAGATAATCATACCAGCATTAAAATACACTTTGGATATTTTGATAGCCTAAATCTTTTAATATCTAGTAATATTAAGTTGAGTCTGTACTGAATACATTAAGAACTACACTACACTACTGATATGCGCATGCTGGGCAGGATAGCTCAGTGGGTAGGACAAATTGTTAGAACACCTGACTTTACGTTTCCTCACTCACTGGTTTCAGGTAGTGAGTGATATAAGGCTTTTTTCATGACAGAGGTCCACCTCTAAAAGCTCCCTTACAGAAGGTCATTACTAGAAGTGGTTAGATACATGCTGCCTGATGATAGTTTCGTGATAAAGGTTTGGCGCAAAATTTATTTGAATCCATTTATTTTTATCCATTCACGGCGGGAGGGGCACACACAGGACGTTGTGAGGCAAAATAGTCCCCAGATTTCAGATTTATGAGTTTTTTACTATCATCACCGTTACATATAAAAACTCAGAAGGCATATGTAGGTTCACTGGTGGTGTTGTATAGTAAATAAAATGGCTGTATTTGTGTTGGAGACATTTTGACCGCTGGTTCCTATCATCACCACTTTAAAGAAATCAGAGTCTGTAAGTTTCACTACAATGAACCATTTCATGTCAAACTAGTCCAGATGACTCTATATACATCTCAAGAACTGAATTAATCTGAAAATTTAAAAAATTGGTGGAATATCCCTTTAAGACTTGTAAATGTCTGGTCATAAAGACAGCCTCAAGCAAAGCTAATGAATAAGGCTGTAGCAATACACAAGTGCTGACTACACAGAGTTGTTTGACTATAAATATAAGATAAATAAACTTTTTATTGCATGCCACTCTAACCCTTTCATAGTGATGTCAAATTCATAAATGAAGCTTTCTTATGAACTGGTGCATTTCAAAAATCAGTCAAACTGTTTCAAAAGTCTTTAAAAAAAGTCTGCACTTTGAAGAGTGTAGCTCATTTCACTGATCAGTAAAATGAAGGAATGCATCCCAAGTGAAGCAGCGATAAAGAATAATGATGAATATCAGAATTACATCAGTACAGCAGATAATTGCTTAAATGAAATCATCAGACAAATATTTAGATTTTTGATATTTTAAATGAATGTTTGATGATGTATTTATTGCAGTGTGAAAGACCAGAACGTTAAGGCAAGGCTGGACTGCTGTGCTGAAAAAATCTACATTGTATTCATGTATCTAATCCAGATGGATCCATTTTCAATTTCTACATGTCATAGATGTATATGTTTTAGCATCAGCATTGGCAGATATTTACATGAAAAATAGTATGTAATAAGCCTGGGATTTTTAAGAGGTTAATCAAAGTTTTCTGTAGCATGTTTGCAAAGTTTACGCCCTTGTTATAAACTGAATAACTCAGATAAAAAAGAATAATAATCTTTCACAATTTAACCTCACAAAACTCATATATTAGGCACTGCAGAACCTGAGAGCCACAGTGGCAGTTCCTGACCGGTCTAAGCCGAACTTTATCAGTTCTCCAATGTGATCACCGTAATGTCTTAAACTCAGTCGAACTGGATAGATAAGCTGGTTTCTGCCATGTTCAGCTAAAAATGAGCTGAAAGCTCAATAGAGCCAGACCTGTAGAGCACTGCGACCTTATGAAGGCATTTAGGCTGATAACAGAAATATGCAGTCATGAAATAAAGCACATGTTAAAGTCATTTCATTAACTTTCCATTTAGTCTTACTTACACTTTGAAGTAGCATTAGTATTAAAGCCCTGGCTTGAACATGGATATTTGAAGATGCAAACAGGCATTCAGGTAACATGTTTTTTAACACCTTATATTGGACTAGATAAAGACATGTTTTTGTTTAGATCAAAGCATAAACACTACTTTTTTGTATAGTTTTGTGTGTTGGCTTTGATTCACATTGTCATGTAGCCCTGTGTTTGTAGAAAATTGGTTTGATACTACTGAGTCATTCCACTTTGCAGCACCCCGGAGTGAAAATGAATAGGTTGAATCGGACATTCGATTTATTGAAACAAACATTTCAAAAGAACCAGCTCTAGTCATTTGAGTGTTGGTACATGTAAAGAATAAGCCCCACCCCTCTTTGCCCACTTTACTCTGATTGGATGCACCCATATGCCCAGTTTTGATCACTGACAGTGGTTTTAATACACTCAAACGTTAATTTTTCCAGTTTTTTGATACTGTATTGAAATTGTTACACTCTTACTAATGAACAGTTTCTTAGGGTAAATGCATTCATATAGGAAAATGCTTAACCAATCTGTGGCTATCATAACACCTGCTTTAGAAAGCTGGACCTTTGAATACTGTGCTTCAAAATAAGAGCCATAAAGTCAGTCCATACCTATATTTTTAACACACACTGAGGCATGCTCTACAGATGTTACGTCTATGTCTGTGTGTACTGTTACTGTATTAACTTCTAATGGACAACAGATACCTTATTTTGTGTACTTAAACCTCATATCTGTTTATGTACACAGTGTTTCCTCCTGGGAATTATCCTTGTGCCACTGCGGTCCATTTTCATGGTGTTGGTTCTGATGGTAACATGGCCTGTTGCTGCCTTGATAACATTCAGGCGCCCTCTGAAAGGAGACATGAAGCCCATGACCGGCTGGAGGAGGTACATACAGGGACATAAAGTCTTCTTTATCAAAACAATGGAGATATGTATCATCTAACTGATCACCAGGAACAAGTGACTGTCTATTTCACTTACAAATAATAGCATGTTCTATTCAAAACATGTATTTGCATAGCATTCTACACCTTTTCACATAAGATTCCAAGAAACATTTTTTTAAGGATACTATCCAACTCTAACATGCCCAGGGTATTTTTTTCCTTTTCTAATCTGATTAAGCAAACGATGCCTTAGGCCCAAATGCTCATTCATCTAGTAGAGCTGCATACAAGCTGCAGCAGATTGAAAAGAGCGAGCTAAAGCCATAAAGCGTGGATGCATATACAGGCATTTAATGACAGGAACTGTATGCAGTTTAAAACAGAACAGTGTTCAAAGGTAGGAGTCAACGAATATGCAGAGAATCCAACAAAACCAGAATTCCGAATCAGAATAGTTCAAATACACAAAATACATTGGAAATGGCTGTGATTATATCACATAACATATTTGAGATATTGTGGTGGGTCATAAGGTCAGAGAAGCTAAACACTGGTAGATGATCTAGACACAGAGTGACGCTTTCCCATCCCCTTACAAATATTTTGAGGGTCATTCCATGATTTTTAGCATAGAATTAGCAAATACACATATAGTCATCTGCAAAAGTTTGAACATCCCTAGTTAAATAACATTTTTTCCTGATATTCTAAGTTTCTGTTACAAAAATGTCACAGTCGTGGTTTGATGTACTGTACAGAGCTAAGAGGATGTGTTCATCACAGGTTCAAATCATGCAGTCCTGCATCAAGCAGGAAGCACTCAGTGAAATTAAACAGGGATTTTACATCACATGAATTCCAAATACATTTGGCACAGAGCTCAAGTTCAGCTCAAATCAACAGTTGTGCTTCAAAAAGTCAATATAATTACTTATTGTCTCAATTTCTTCTTTATTATGTTGAAATATCTTATTTTCTCAAAATAATGATGTCTCATATTACTCTCTCAAAAAGTAACAATTTATTCTTTAGTCATTAATTTGACCTACTAAATCAAAATATTGAAAAAATAAGTCATTCTTTCAACCTAATAACCTAATAATGAATTAGAGAAGGATAAAAAAGCCTACCTGCCAACCTGACATGTGAGTCAAACACATGCATATATTGTGCTGCTCATATGTTAGTTACGAAGTTGTGCCTGGGTTCATTTGCATGGATGTTCTTAGTAGGTAAGCCGCTAAATTGACCATCCCCACAGACACACAGTAGTCTGACACTAATCAGTGCTTCTCTTAGTAAATCTGCCCATTGGTTGTAACACTGTTACAACTAACCCTGCCATGTGGAAACTGTACTTTACTCTAGATAGCTCTCACTGTTGTTTACCTGCACAACAAGAAGGTGATTAAACAGTATAGATAGGAAATCTGTAATTACAGCTCAGTAATTGAAAATACTTCCTTTTATGGTACAAAACAAGTCTTCATGGTGAATCTGGACAAATATCTGGCTGATTGCTGACAAAATTCACAGATGAAGTTACAATGGGACTGTGAGAACATAACTAAAAGCACATTCTACTTGAAGCTGTTTAACTACATAAAATAGCCATGTTACATTTTACCCCACATTAGTTTGTTCCCCTCTCTGCCCCGTGTATGTAATTTCTGGTCATGTCTGTGTGTGTGTGTGTGTGTGCAGGTTTATGTGTCGCACAGTGATGGGGTTTCTAGGCCGGCTGTATTTCTTTTCTATGGGCTTTCGCGTAGTGGTGAAGGGGAAGCAGGCAAGTAGTGCTGAAGCCCCGATCCTGGCTGTGGCTCCTCATTCGTCGTACTTTGATGCCATTGTCTGTATTGTGGCCGGGCTGCCATCCACAGTGTCCCGCTCTGAGACTCTGGCAACTCCCATATTTGGTCGTGAGTATCCAACAGCTGTTGATTTTGGCTCTCTGACTTTCAGAATAACACTTCTTTTACCTTATAATAATGCCATCTTTGTGTGATGGATGAAAGCTGTTCGCAAATCAAATGGAAATGTGAACCTGGCACATCTTCCCAGGTGCTGTTCATTCTTGACAAATTCCTAAATTCCTCACCAGCTGCACTGAAGACTAATGTCATGTAGGAGCCACTGACCTCGGACTTTGCACTTTAAAAAATGTGATGTTCTGGACCACTTACATGCCCAGGGCCCACCAGCGGGCCCACAGTTTTATTACACATTTCTATAACCTAAGTATAGCTCAGCCAGTTTGCATTAAAGTGCCTGTAGTTACTGACTAATAAGCCTTAGTATGTTATAGGCTTGGGATTTTAAGGGGTCGGATGTTTTTTTGGTTTAGATATATGGTGCTAGGAGAACTGATCTAATTGGTATAGAAGATTTACATTTTGTGGAGGTTCTTTAAGAAAGTTCTTCACACCCTCATTTAAAAAAACGATTATTTAAAGAACTGCACATTGAAGGGATCTATATGGAACCAAATGCGTTTCTTTTATGGAAGAACACATTTTGACACCTTCATTTTCAAAAGTGTAGCTCATGGACTGATCAGTGAAATGAAAGAAAGCATCACAAATGAAGCAGTGATACTTAATAGAGATAAATACCAAAATCATATCAATAAAGCAGATCCATCTTTAAGAAAGAACTACCTGGCACAAATGTCTGGGCCATCTGACAGACTAAGCTGTGCATAAAAGGAGGCTAGAACAGTTGTCAGAAAGTAATTGGTCTTCAACCCAAGCAGAAGCTTCCAAGAAAGGAACTGACATGCAGGTTTGCTTGGACACCACAACATTATACGTCAGCATTCACAAGTGGAAAGCATATATGCTGCACCCTGCTTTGGGAAAAGGGGTGCAATGGGTTTACAGCACTGCCACCTTTAGAGGTGTCTATACCAGGGTTATAATCCCCTCACCCAGTGAGAGAACATTTGTATACAATGTCTGATGTTTCCTTTATGGTTTTAAGCAACTTTATTAACCAAGCAGTGTATGGTTACTAAAAAAATAGAATAATAAGCGAACACTGACCTGGATATCATGAAATTGGTGTACCAAAGGAAATGATATATAGCATTGTGCAAAAGTCAAAGACCGCCCTTCATTTAATGTATTTCCCGTAAGAATAATTATTTAATTTTTCACCATCGGGAGAAAAATATTTTTATAGAAATTTACACAAAGCCTTGACAACAAAATGTAATGTCAAATTTTACAGTATTTAATGTCTCCACTTTGTTGTCTTGCAAAAGACTTACCTTCAGTTTTTCAAAGAAATCTGCTGGGATATTTTTCCACACGAAAATTCTATTTTCTGTCCCATTTTTTCTATATTGTTAAATATTTTTCAAACTAGAAATTAAATAACTGAAGGGTGGTATTTTTGCACAGTATTGTAGACCTGACGTTTATTAGAGAAAAAACTATGAATAAATATAATGCATGCAAGACTCAATTTAAAACCCACCTGCCTGCTTCATTTGTACATTGTTTTGTCCTTTAGCCTGACTTTCTGTTCAAAGACAAAATGCTTGGACAGCCCTGCTCTATATAATCAGCTGTGTACCAAAAAACCTGAAACAGTTTGCATGTTGGCTTTGGCAGTAACCGTTAAAACTTGCAAGCATCTGTGCATTTTAAACCACGATGATAAAGAGAAATAGTCTACGAAGCTAACTGGGTAAGTAAACAATACAATGCATGCTTTACACTGTGTGTCTGAGGCTGTTTTGTGTGCTTCAGGTTTTCTGCGGTGCCTGCAGCCTGTGCTCGTCTCTCGCAAAGACCCAGACTCACGCAAAAACACCATCCTAGAGATCAGCAACCGGGCCAAATCTGGAGGCCGCTGGCCGCAGGTTAGGCTGAACTACTGCTAGTGTTTTTTATATTTCCTTCCTGAAGCAGAATGAGAATCATGTGTTTGTTCACATACAAGTGTTTAACAGTATACAGTAGCTCACAACAGGAATTTTCCACTTGTGTTCCACTTGTTCACAGAGATATCTTGAGTTCTGCGTTGCATACATACCATCAAGCAAACATGCAACTTGAAGGAATACAGTATGATGTAATTGAGCCAACAATGGCAGTTTCACAACCGGTCTTGAAAAGGGAATTTCAGAGTTGAGTCTTTGTGTTTCGAAAGCTGGAAATGGTGACCTTTACTTCCTGTATGATGTAGGAAGGCCTAAATCTCCACATTTAACCAGAGGATACTAAAGATAAATTTATACATAATTATTTTCAATAAATATAAAATAGTACTAAAATGTATGTTTGATAACTTTGTGAAAGTGATAATTTTATAACCTACATACACTGTAGGCCAAAAGTATGTGAACACCTGACCATCACACCAATATGACTACCAGATAGTAAACAATGATTTATCACTCCAGAGAATATGTTTTCACTGCAATCTGTCCAATCTGACACTTAGCATTGCACATAGTGATCTCAGGCTTCTGTGCAGCTGCTCAGCCATGGAAACTTATTTCATAAAGCTCAAGTCACGCAGTTCTTGCAATGATGTTGCTTCCAGACGCAGTTTGAAACTCTGTACTTAGTGATGCAACAGAGGATATGTGATTTTTACATGCTATGTGCTTCAGCACTCATCGGCCCCATTCTGTGAGTTTGCGTGGTCTACCTCTTAGCTGAGCTGTTCTCCTCCACACTTATACTTACTACTACTTATACTTACACAACAATAACACTTACAGTTAAATGGGGCTATTGTATGTCTATGGAGATTGCGTGGCTATGTGCTTAATCGTAGCCCTAATTTTCAACAGGTGCGGCTGAATTTAATAATAAGGAGGGGTGTCCACGTACTTCTGGCCATACAATTGTAATATTCAAATGATAATGCAACTATTTAGGCTTGTTTTCTTTAAAAAAAATATTCTGCTAAAAGAAAACAGCTTTAGGTACTTGTTTGTTTGTTTTCAGGTATTGATTTTCCCTGAAGGAACATGCACAAACAGATCCTGTCTCATTACTTTCAAGCAAGGTAATGAACCATGCTCTTGCCTAATTTGTGTATGTGTCTGTTTATTTGCTTAATATTTGTTTACATTAGTTAGTGATTTTTGTTAATAGCACTAATACTGGCAGTCATTCCCACTGAGCTTTTGCCATATTCTGAAGTGTGTTTTTAAAAAAGCTCACAATCTTCAGCTTGTTCTAACAGGTGGCTACAGTGTCAGCATAATATGAAAAGAATGTTGTGTCTACACAGACATGGATGCACCATGAATAAAGAGTATGTTCAGTTTTGTTTGCTACACATGAAATGAACCAGTGTAGCAATTTGCCTGTAATGCAAATGCACAGAAAGGGAGACGTCCAGGGAGGATGAATGGGGCTTTCATGCCATAAGCAGTTTGCTTTTGCTTACAGAAGCATCCAGAATGCTGTTTACAGAGGCTAGCAAAAACAGGAACACAAGTTAGAGAGGGATGTGAAATCTTTTAGATATGACCTTCATACTAGCCACTTCCTTCTTTTGTTTCTATATTTGTTCAATAATCATATTTTAGATCATTTCAGTGTTGCAGACATTCATTTCAGGATGCTCTGCCATCATCAATATGTATTGAATTTACTTAATCTAAGGCCTCAACTGCAAACCATATTAACCACACAGAACTGGCTTGGTAATCAGTAATTATTGACTGACTGAATGAGACCATGCTGCACAGTAGGATAAATAGGATGCATAATCTAGGACACAGTCTGATCAATGGAGTCTATTGACTGACATTCAGAGCAGCAAAGAATGTTAACTGATATTCAGCCTCTGGTTTGAGGTGAAGAGAGGGTTAACTATTGTGTGTTTTGTCCCAATTGTATTTGCACTTTGAGTTCAGTTGTTAGATATAACAGTCATGGTATCAGGGTTGGGAGTACAGAATATGTATTCCGGTAGAACCCAATGATTAAAAATAGGAGAATCTCTATGATATAACTTTAAAAATACTTTAAAAGTGATCAGATTGCTGACTGGAACCTTTTTCCACAGTTGCTAGATATAAAAAGTCATATTATCAGGGTTACTTTAAAAATTAAAAAGCTACTGATTACATGTTAAAATGTAATATTTAACATAATCCAAAGGATTACTCTTTTAAAGTAACAGAATCTGATTACTTTTGAATTCATTTTGGATTACTTGTCTTTTTAAAATCTTATTAAATAAAGACGAGTTCAAACAAATTTCAATAAGATGTCTTTGATCAAGTAAAACAGGCAAACAAGGGAAGCCCTTAAGGGTAGTATTAAAATCAACTTTATTTATTCCACTTTATTCATTTTTTCTGCCTCTATAATGCACCAAACAGCCAAAAAAATATTTTTAGCATCACTTGTAAAATTGCAGCTATCAAAAAATTCTGTCACAATTTTTTCCACAACAGTACAATTTGTTTTTATTTTTTTTCTTACCTTTCATAAACCAGGTGAAAAAAAAGCAAAGTGGCTAACAATTAGTATGCCCCAGCAGCTTCGACCACAAGGAAGCAGCTGATTTTTTTTTCTCATTACTTTTTATAAACGAAGTGTAAAAAAATACTGGAAAGCTAACTGGCTAACAGTTAGGAATTTTTATGACAATTCATAATTTTTTTTACCCAGTCCATGAAGGGAAAGGGGGAAAAATACAGCTGCCCCTTGCTGGTCAAAGATGGTGTAATGTGCTAAGTGCTAGCCAATATTTTTATTTTACACATTATCCATGTGGCATTGTTAGAATTACTGCTACTGAGTGCTGATTGGTTGGCGAGCTGATCAGCTTATTGGCTGAATGAAGCAGTCTACACACTGATGTCATGAACATACATGAGGCGCTGTTATAAAGTCCTATAACTGGAGTTCAAAAGCCTCAAAAATATAACAGTGGTGTTAAAATGTTTTATGCTGTTCTGAATGCATTTATCTATATTGTGTTTAAGCGTTTCCAAATTTTGATTTTGCTAAAATGCTCCATATTAATGGTTCTCCTCTTTACAAATTCTCGGACGCAGCTCCATATGTGACAAAGCAGAGGAGAAATGAATCTTTTTGATGTTCTTTAAGAGTAATTGCTATGACCTAATCGTCTGGTGAACTTGGATGTTGCTATACCAGTAGACATCAGATGAATAAAATATCACTTTTTTTGCTAGCTGAAAAATGGAGTGAGTGGTAATGTAACCACCCTGCTATTATAATGTACTGTAATCTGATTACTGCCTTTTTTCTGGAACTGTAACAGGTAACATTACAGTTACCATTTTTGGTGTCCTCATGTGTAATGCCGTTACACGTATTCCATTACTACCCAACTCTGCATTTTATGAATGTGTTTTGATGCTGTAGGTTGAGGCAAATCAGTATAAATCTATTGCGTCACATGATGGGCCTTTTGAAAACAATAAACATTCTAACTTTTAATTTGGTACTGTAAACATTTAGAAGGCAGTGCAAATAATATTAGCCATGTAGTTGTTTGGCATGTATGCTAGCAAAATGAGAGTTTTTTGCCTATATTTTCATATATTTTTACTCTTCCCATGATTCTCTGTAATTTAGACATTTTTGTCAGTGTGTGTAGTCTATTGTTTCGTGGGTACAACTAGTGTTAGTTAGTTAGTAAACATAGCTAAGAAGCTAGATAGCTAATCATGCTGGATGCTGGTACGCTGGTCAGTAGCAATGAAAGTTATTATGCTGATCACCACGAAAACCAGCATATGTTGTGTTTTGGTTGCTGGTGTGCTCGTCAACCAGCATGACCATGCTAGGAGAGCAGCTAAACCAGCACCAGACCAGCACTAGACTAACATAAACCAGCTTAGACCAGCTTGGACTACATGCTGTTCTGAGTTTTTTTTCAGCAGGGCAACTAAGGCTAGTACTTTAGTAGCTGCGTGAACAAGAAAAGACAATTTAGTTCAAATATTTATATGGCAATTAATTGTCAGCTAAAATTTCATGATTGTGACAATCCTTACTTTTCTATCTCTCTGCTTCTCTTTTCAGGTGCCTTTGTGCCAGGAGTTCCTGTTCAGCCTGTTCTTTTGAGGTACCCCAATAAGCTGGTAAGTGGTGCTTGCCCCCCTTTTCCTAATGCCACATTCTTTAAAAATAAAGGTTCATTAACCTTTGGTGCCTTAAAGAGCCTTTTAATGGATGATTCTTCAAGGAAATGGCTCACTGCTTGCCTGCATGTAGAGGAAGCGTGTAGAGGAAGTGTTTATTCTGAGACCCACAAAATATTTTCTTTATCAAAAAGTTCTTAAGCTTTCCAGTCCACTTTATTACTGCTCTTTATATTGAATAAAACAAGTGCGTACACTGATAAAAGAGTGAAACATATAAAGTCTTACTCTCTTATGTACTAGTGAGATACAGTCGAGAGCAAAAGTTTGAAAACATTGGGTTGATTTTCTAAGTGAAAATAAGTTAACATTCTCGACAGGTAACAACCTAACCGAACAATATATGCCAATATCTTTACATCAAAATTGCTTAGTTTAATTGTGGTTAACTTACTGCTTGCTTGCATGGCACTTTCATAGGATGCCACCTCTGCCACAAGTCAGTTTGTGAAATTTCTGTCCTGCTAGATCTGTCACAATCAGCCATAAGTGCTATTATTATGAAACAGAAGTGTCTAGGTGGAACAACAGCTTAGCCACTAAAGACAAAAATTCAAACAGACACACTCCAAAATCTTGTAGAAAGCTTCTTAGAAGAGTGAAAGCTGTTATAGCTACAAAGGGGGTACCAATTCCGTTTTATTGCCTATGGATTTAGAATGGAATGTCATAAAAGCTCCTGTGGGTGTAATGTGTAAGTGTCCAAAAACTTTTCCCCATATAGTGCATTTGTGCTGAACAATTTTGGGTTGAAGATTTGTTAGAATGAGATACTGTAATATTTGAAAAACAAAAAATGGAGCTAATTATCACTCTAGTAATGGAAAGGCTATGATTAGAGGTGGAAATAAGGTTACAACTTGCAAATCTGGTTACAACTGTGCTGTGGTAATACTCTCTTGCAATACATTAAAACACATTTGTGTGATGCCTTAATTTATCAAAACCCACATAAACTCAGCTCGGTAGAAATATCTGAGGTTGGTCAGAATGCTCACAGCTCATAATATAATAAAACTATAATTTCTTAGACAATTAATTTGCATATTGCAGCCTTTCAGTATCAGAATTATATAAATAGGTCAAGATCATGCTAACAATTAACAAACAATAGTTTGTGCAGCCCTTTGAATAATTGATAAAGCATAGAATAATAACAGAAGTAAGTAAATCTGTATTAACCGCACATTATCTACTCTCATCTTAAAGCTGCAGTACCAGAACAATATTAATATGCATGTACTGGTACTGCCAAGAAAGACTACATGAGCAATTTCTGGAAAAATACTGAATCATTTTTCAGTCCTAAACTGAAGTTATGCACATATAACTTATGCACATCAGTCACATTACAGCATACATTTTAAGTAAGTAAGTAATAACTGGGAGACGTTTAAGCTTTGTGGGCTAATTATGCAGCTGTGCATCATTGGAAATGTAACCAAGCAACACTCATGCGCCCAGAAACTGAGGAACTTGCTGTATTTCATACAGTTATTTAGTCTCTTATTTTCCATGTTTCAGACCTTGCTTACGCTGCAGTCCTCAGCTTGAACAGTAAACAGTTTATCTGTGAAACACTACTGTGAGTCATACTTTCACACTGACAGTTTATTTTCTGTGTTTCAGGATACAGTGACATGGACATGGCAAGGGCCCAAATCGTAAGTGCTGACCTTTTCAAATCATTACATGAATTTCATTTGTACAAAAAGCCCTGAGAAGAAGATACAGTCATGACTCAAACTTAAGATGGTTATCTTCACACCATCAAGACCCCACCTCCTGAGATAAAAGAGCCACCCACAGTCACCCTCTCAGTTTGTTTAGCAACTGTCACTGAAATACTAAACATATTTATCAGTTTTTCAGAACTGCTTACATTTACATATACATATACGGTAAGTTCATGTGAATAGTGTGCTTATCATTTGTAACACTTGATTTAACCTGTTGATTGTTCACAGATATGCAGCTCTGTATGTTAACAGCACAGTCATTAGTGTTTAGCTTCAGTTTCTTGTATGCCTGGACTGCATACACTACATATGCTGCTTGTGGTATTTTGCACATGCTTTAAACATTCCCAGGAAGCAAAGTGTTCCCAGGTAACAGTTTAAATGTTTCCTGTAATATTTCCAAACCATTCCAAAACAACAACAGTTAATGCCATAGTTACAATAACCGTTAATGAATCCAAGAGCTATGAAATTAAGTAGATGAAGAGAAGTGAGGTGAGAATTAAAAATTGTTGGCAGAGATTTTTCCCCACACTTAACCCTCAATCTACTGCTAATTTCTTATCGCCTTATGCATGATGGCATGCAACCTAAGGGAAACACTGATCACATCAGCTTAACAAAACTATATTTTTATAACATTATATATGTAACTATGTTTTTATACAACATAATTCCCACAAGATACAATGTATATGTACACTCATCCAGTGTTTTCCCATGACAATGTTTTTGCAATCCCTACCACCACACCATTTTCTTCTTGTTCCTCAGTCCTACCATAGTTCAAAAGGAGTGGGTTCAGCTTTCTAGCTCCAAGCAGAAGCCACCTAGAACTCCAGCGCAAGTTCTCAGAGTTCTCTCCCCTTCAATCAGTCCCCCCTTATACTACCACCATATGTTGAAGGCACGGTCCAAACTGGCAAATAGGGAGTTTTTCCCCCTTTGCTGCAGCAACAGCCTCTACTCTTCTGGTAGGCTTTACACAAGGTGTTGGAACATTGCTGTGAGGATTTGATTGCATTCAGCCACAAGAGCATTAGTGAGGTCAGATACTGATGTTAGATGGTTAGTTCTGGATCACTTCAGCTCATCTCAAAGGTATTGGATGGAGCTTTATCACTCCAGAGAATGCAGTTCATGCATATTTTTTTAATCAGTGCACTACTGAAGTCAAATCTTAACTGTATTTATCTGTGCTTCTGTATTCATATGAAGATACTCACACCTGGGTTGTATCTCAAGCACTTGATTCTGCCTTGATTTTGAATGTACTTTGTGGACAGGCTCAGTCATGTAACAGATGGGATGGTGTGGGATTCATAGCAAGTCATACTATATTCTTTCTTGTTTTTCACCCATGTTGCGCCCAGACTTGCTTGCTTTAATTCCTTGAAATTGTGCCAAATCCAGGCATCACTACAGAACTGCTGAAACAAGTGTTACATCAGCTCCTGTTGACTTTATGTGAACATTCAGTTCATCATTTAGAAACAGATGTATTTTTTCAGGCATATCCACATTACTGACCTAGATAGCTGTGATTATAGTACCCAGAATTATGTGATTTACCACAGCAATTGTACCAGAGCTGCCCTGCACATGATTTAATAGCTCAGAATCAAAAATGTAAATAAAAAAGCTTTTACAGAACTAGTTTAAATGTGTCATATTTGTTAGACTTGCATATTGTTTGCTTTTATGTGTGAATAAAAAAAATTTGCAATTTACAGAAAGTCCCCACTGCGGCTTTTACTTTATTGGAGGTGTTCTTTTAATATTACATCATTTCTTGCTGTAGCGTCTTTCTGTCTTGACATAAACCCTGAGAGGTTATGAGAAAGTAGGATAACATCACTGTTGCTTCCTCTTGCAGGCGGGCCCTGCTTCTTCGCACACTGTGTCAGCTCTACACGACAGTGGAGATTGAGGTTAGCCACCTCCGGTGACTACTTCTCTGTTCTAGCTTTGGCTTGTGAAATACCTAAGCTCTTCATTAGTACTATGTGCAAACGGCATCAGATGGTTTTTACATAGCCAAAAATACCTTTCATGACCATGAAATGACATATATATAGAATTATATTATTTAATTATAATTTAATTATAATATAATATATAATATAATAAGTGTTGTATAATTAATGGGAGAAAATGTTTTTTCAGATTTGTCTGACTCAGAATGATAAAATCTAAGGTATCAGACATCCGGCTTATAAAGAAGTACCATAAGCATAGTCATATAAGTATAGTATCATAGGTAGTGTCATAAGTATCAGTTATAACTGTAAGATATCAGTGTTCCTGAGTAAAGGAAATCATTTTTTTTGTATAGGAAACTGTACAAGATCTATATTTATATAGCTAGCTGTTGTAATTCAAGCTATTGGAAAGTGCTTTATATCTGCACCTACACCACTAGTGGAGTAGGCTGTAACAGCTCTGAATTTGACATCAACTTGCTTGTTTTGTGAGTACGTAATAGATTTCTACACTACTGTTATGTGTAATATACAGTCATAAAATTTGTATATCATTTGTATGGCCATTAATATGCCATACATGTCATTATGCAAACTTTAATGCACAATTTATATTTCTTTACTGAGTTTAATATATTAGAAAAAAATAATACACAAAATATAAAACGTGCATTAACCTTTGCACAGGCCAGATTTATGTCTCCCCCCATTATTTTAGGTTTAGCAAATAAACAGTAATTGTGAATTAAAATGTGCAGGAATGTGTTCTCTGTAGAAGATGTGTAGTAATTTTCACTTCAATTTGAAGTGAGGCACCCAAACTTTGGGCACCCAAACTTTTGCAGAAGACTGTAGTTTTCTGGGCAAGCACCCAGAAAAGCTAAGAGAATAAAGAGAACAAGAACTTAAAATATATGCAACAGTAGCCGTTAGAAGCTAAATAAATATGATTGTAAAGAAATAAAAGAATACAAAAGACACAGTGACAGAATAGATAGAGTAAAAAAATAATATAATAAAAAGTTCCAAAGTAAAAGCACTTTTGAAAAAAATTATGTTAAAAAATTTCCACAGACTACACCATCCTCTGCTCCTCAGGCAAGGAAAAGAAAAATATAGCTTGTCAGTTATACAGTAATTTGTATTTGCTTGCTATGTCAGTTCAGAGATTATACAGATGACATTTCAGATTAAGTTTGAGTTATAACAGGAGGGAGGGTCGACATGATGTGACATTATCATGTCAAGTTATATCACCATATGTTTTTCTGAGAATATTGTGGGCATCATAAGTAATTCCAGAACAGTGACCAAAGCATGTTTAATTAAAAAGAGTTTTAACTGGAGCTCCCATGGCATAACTCTGTAAGGTCTTGCCCTATTGCCTTGTCTTCAGTGTGTGTTTGATTGTGTGATTGTTCCTGATTAGTTGGCTGTAGTGCTGCACAGTTGAATATAAACAATCGTCGTACTTATGGTTTTTGATAGCAGTAATTGTGGTTTTGCTGGTTCAGGGTGTCCAACTTATTATAGCTCTGAAAAGCTAAATATTATATATTCAGAACAAACAGAGGGACATTTTGCAGCAACAACAAATAAACACCAGTATTTGAAAGCTAAATGTGTTGTAGAGTTGGGCAATACGAATAATAATATTTATTTAAAAAATGTATTATTATTATAAATAATCTTTTTCATCATTGTGATAAATTACATCACAGTACACTTTTCTGAGCATGCTGAGGATATAGCTAGTGCTTAAAGAACACTAACAAACTGCATGTTTTATTGCAAAGAGTGCATAATTTGTCTTGTTTAATAGGATTTAGTGCAGCGCAGTATGTGCAATGTTAAACAAATATCACATACTCTTATATTTTTAGTGCCACTACTGGGGCTTTTTCCTGTCCTAAATGATCTAACTTCAAAAAAATGATATATCATGACATGTCATGTATCATGAAAATGTCTTCAAGTATCATGATATTAAATTTGTGCCATATCACCCACCCCTAATGCCATGAGATTGTTTTTTTAAAATAAGTGGTCTTTAAAGTATATTTAAAACCTAAACGCCACATGTTCTCTTCTATAACACTGAAGTTTAGTTACAGTCAGGCTTTCCTCTAAACACTGTAAAGTGTTAAAAAGTGTTGCATTGTTTAAAAAGTTTAGTTTACAGTGTAATTTACAGTAAGTGTGACATCATTTTGAACATGTGCTTTTGTCTGTTTTAGTTTCTTCCCCCTCATATTCCAACAGAAGATGAGAAGAAGAATCCCAACAAATTTGCTCAGTCAGTCCGGAGTCTAATGGCTGAGTAAGGAAGGATGATTACCATTTCCATTTTTAACACAAAATACAAGTTTATACTGGATACTGGCAGACAGCTTGACTGTACTGATGAATTCATGCTGTGTATGTTGCCAGATCACTGCGTGTCCCAGTAACAGACCACACGTTTGAGGACTGTCGTCTGATGATCTCTGCAGGGGAGTTGACCCTACCCATGGAGGCGGGGCTAGTGGAGTTCACCAAGATCAGCAGGAAGCTTGAGTAAGGCACACCGCCCAGTGCTTGACACTTCATTTTTCATGTACTGGCTGACTCTTAGAAGTTGTTATATTAGTAGTTATTAGTTACAGTATATAGTATGTAATTTACTTATATGCAATAGTTATTACTTTCATTTCTTTATATTATTCAAATAGAATGACACAATTACATGTTTAATTACATAGTTATATAATAAATTACATTTACATTGCACTTGTATTCTTTATCAATAGGTTGCACTTCTGCCTTTTTTTTTCTGTTTGTCTGATTCAATGTCAAAAAATGGCAAATGCTCCCGAGAAATGGCAAAACATTCCTGTTTGGTTGCATCATCTCAAACCTACTACATTATAATTACTTTGTAATTACAACTCTTGATTATAATAATCTGTGAATAATAATATTAAGCATACTTTGCCTAAACACCAAAGGTCTCTAGATATAAACACTAACCACATGAAATCATTACATATGCAGCTGTCAAGTCAGTTAATATGGAATCATGTAATTAGTAGTGGTTATTAAATAACTTAATTATTGTCTTAAAAACTTTCTGTTTCTGTGCTTCCCTCAGTCTGAAATGGGACAATGTGAAGAAGGAGCTGGAGAATTTCGCCACCATAGCATGCTCGTGCAAAGGAGGCAGAATCAGAATCAAGGAGTTTGCCAGTTTCCTCAAACTACCTATCAGCCCAGCCCTTCAGGAGCTCTTTAGTCTTTTTGACAGGGTGTGTTGCTAGGTGTTTGTGTAACCAACATCCAGTGTTCTGTGTGTATGTAACCAACACCCAATCTCCACTGTTAGCTCATATTTTTGTTGGCGGTGTTGCAAATTGAACGTCTTTAGCTACACTAACAATAAACTACATAAACTGGTCATTTTATTAGACAGAAATAGTGTCATTTCATAGAATAGTTAGGCAGAACAGTTTTGTTTGACAAAACTATTATGGTAAGGTGACAGAGCCTGAGGAAAAATGAGGACTGCCCAGTAGGAATGCCCTCTATCTCCTGTTCTATTGAACAGGCTTGACTTTTGCCTTATATGGCAGACTGATTTGTTTACTGTGTGTTTTTGTAGGATGGGGATGGCACCATTGACTTCAGAGAGTACGTGATTGGTGTGACTGTGTTGTGTCGACCTGCTAACACAGAGGAGGTCATCCAGACAGCTTTTAAGGTACAAACCCATTATGAGGATTAGCTAGGTATTTCCTTAGGTTTTTTTTTCTGTTCTTTTCTGAGTGTATTTTTAGGGCTTTTCCAGATGCTTTTTTGAGCTACAGAGCTTCGACAGTGATTAACAGTGAATATTTGAAGCTTAGCCCCATGGGTTAGGGGTTGGGCTGAGAAAGTTGTTTAGAAAATCCAGATCCGACACCTGTGTTGAAAGCACATCTGCGGCTTCATCCGCAGTAAAATCCGAATCTCTAGGCTAGCTGCTTTCCTTACAGAGCGCTGTGGTCCTCACAATACGGCTTTGTCCCATCTACCAGGCCCGCTAGCCTCTCTTGGCAGCGACCATGGGATAATAGCACAGTGCACAGATTAAACAGCGCTTCATGGAGGTGGTCTAACTTGAGGCATGAAGGGTATATATCGTAGCCCTAAGGGTCCAGTATGGCGGGCCACTGTTTGCAGCCGTCATTGGAATACATGCCATCTAGCATTGTGTTAGCATCGTGACGTTCACTGCTGTGAGTCGCCCAAGCTGAGATGGTATATGTTTCCATATTTTAACAGTGCAATTAAAAAGTATAAATATAGTACAATAATGTGCTGACAAAATGTATTGTGGTGTTGCTACGCTGCATTGTAGGTAGTTCAGTTTTTAAAGAGAAGAAATGTTCATGTTGGCCTGTTTTAGGTTCATTCATACACAGACATTTATGTTGAAGAGCCTGAATACAGTTGGAGCCCGAATACAGTTTGGCAGTTCACCTTTATTGATAGCCTATATTTAGCCAAAAAAAAGGCAGATTCCCAAAATTAAAAACAGAATACCTACCCAATGAACGAACGTCCGAATAGTTGAATATTCAGGTCCAGGCCTATATTATTTATTAATACACTCTAAATCCAAAAGTCTCCTGCCACATTTTCTAATACATTTTCATTAATTCAGGTGCTTTAAGGTGCATCCATTGTTGACATGCATTCAGTTGTGTAAACATTGATAACGTCAGTATGACAAATATTGCACAGTTATCGCCTGTCGTCTCTTGCCTCAGCTCTTTGATATAGATGAAGATAACAACATTACAAGGGAGGAGTTTGCTGGCATTCTACGCTCCGCTCTAGGTGTGTGTGACCTCAACGTTTCCAAACTCTTCAATGAGATCGATGCTGATGGATCAGGACATATCACATATGGTACGTATAAAATTCACCTCAGAATCCAAGCTGCACTAAAAGATCCCTGAAGTCAAGTTGTCATTCTGCAGTCGGTATCATGCATATTAGGGTATAAGCAGATTTCTCAATGGGAAAAATGTGAGAAAATGAGAACAAAAAAGGAGAAAATCAATGCTATTGTAAACAGAAATGTTCGTTTTGCAGTATATCCATAATTCCTCGTATTGCTATTGGATTACACAGTTGTTAAGGAGTTGATTATTGCTACAGGCAAGCTAACACAGCTGCACACTGGATTGACATCAGTCCACTTGTTTGGACGGTAGTGAGTAGCTGGTGTTGTTATATAATATGTTATATTATAAAATACTACTTCTGTGCAACGTCATTTCAGTGCTTTAGCTTGTTTGTAGCATGTGTGTAGCATTTCGACTGCTAAACAACATTGTACTTCAGATGGTCCAGTAACACTCGGTTGGGGTGTTCTGTGACTAACCTTCATGATGTATGATCGTGGTCGTGCTCAAACTGTAATTATTTCTTTTTAAAAGGATATTATTCCTATGTAAGCAGTGTACACAATAACATTCATGCACAATGAAACATTCATGCATTTATAAGCTCTAAATAAACTTTTCTAATGTTTCCTGCTGTAGATGAGTTCCGCTCCTTTGCTCTGTCCCACCCCGAATATGCCAAACTCTTCACCACATACATCGAGCTCCAGCGCTACCAAGGCCTCCAGGGGGAGGGGCCAGACTCAGACTCCTTCTCCCACTGCTGTACTGTTTCCCCTAGCGACCACCAGGAAGACAGCAATTCAGACAAGAAAGATGACTAAGTCCCCATGTGATAGGCAAAGCCAAAACTATTACATGTGGGTTATGTGAGATAAGTAGAGAATCACTGGAGAACTTCTAACAGAACATGCATTGCTACTGATCAGCTGGCCTTTCATTGTTTTTAAACACAACCATCCCCTGGATGAAATTCTGCCAATGTCATCTTAACCCGTGCCTTAGAAGTGTGTAACCGCTTTGCCCTGGCCATAGGCAACATTTCTCCAAAGGCTGCAAATCTCCTTTACATACAGTTCAGCAAATCTGGGTTGAGCTGTACCCGCCTGTTGTTCACATACTGTCTTCAGATGTTGCTGCTTGCATCAGCTGTTTTATTTAAAGCATTCTGTAGCAGTGTGCTGTATTTTACTGTGATTATGGCAGGAGGCTTTTTTATATGGTGCTTCACCGATTGACTGTTTGCACAAAAATAACATGCCTTTCAGTCAGTCTTCTCAAAACAAACCTGCAGTGAGAATGGCAGTGGCAGTAAATTAGTCTGAACTGTCAGACTAGGAAACATACTCTGCTAATAATCTGTAGGGGGATGTTGTTTTTGTTTCATCCCTGAAGATTAACAATTGGCCCTTTGCAAAGTTCTGAAAAGACCCTTCTACTTTAGTTATCATTGCTACATTACTCACATTTTTCAGCTCTGGCCACCTGGTGGCATCTGTAACACTTGTGCTTACAGACCCAAAAGGTTAACTGCATTACCTTAAACATTATTCATTATTATTCAAAAATAAACTGGCTTCACAAGATGGTCAGCATAAAAATAAATGTTGGAGAAATGACAGTATGAATGAAGGCCAATTTAAAGCAAAAAGTATTCTGGAAACCATGTTTACATTAATCAAACCAGAGAGATCGTTTAATTTCATTGGTAAACTGTAATGGAACAAAACATGATGGTATGCATACAAGTGCATGACTATGATCTTTAAAATTTTTTTTGCAAATGTGAACACTGAAAGGTTCTGTTTCATCTAATTTCTCAAGCTAGCTATCAGCAGCTGAATTAAGAAGAGCTAACATATTTAACATTAGCCAACTAATCTTGTTGTTCTGTAACATTACCTTAGAGCCAGCTTATGTCTGCCTGTTAATAAGTTTGCCTTCAAGCTGTGAGTGCTGTCTGTAGATCAGTCCAAGTTTTCTAGCCTCTGCAAAGAAATAAAAACAGTATGAGTCTGAATTACATGCTCACCATTGACACTTTTGCACCTCTCTTAGCCAAATAATTCAGATTTATTTTCTGCCAGTGCCGTTCTCACTGCAGGTTTCTTGTGAGGGTTTTTGTCTGAGTTTTTCCTTCGTTTGACAGAGGAAGTGGCACTAAGAGACAGTTGTGATTTGCTGAGAGACGCGTCAATCATTATTTTGCAAACAGTTTATTATTATTGAATGTTAATTTCATTCGAAATAATTCATACTGCCATATTGAGAAATCACTATTTTGCAGCTTGTCAGTAACTGCAGATTAAAGCTAATAATTGCTAATATTTATTCTAACATAATATAATGTCAGGCCAACACAGAATTAGAGCAAGATCATTAGCTTGTAGTGGATACAGAGGCTTGCGATAGAACAATGTAAGCAATTGCCAAACTTTTTGTCACTTTGGAAAATGGGTCCAACAGCTGAAACAGGCCAGTTACAGAAAGTTGTGTTAAGAAAAAAGCATATTTTTAAAGATGGCAGGCAGATGAACTGTAGCCCAAGGGAAGATGCTAATATACATGCTGTTTTTCTCTCTATTGCCTTCTTTCTCCTTTTCTATTTCTCTCTCTCTTTCTCTCTGCTCAGGGACTCTGGTGCGGAAGGTTTTCAATAATCAAAGGTTTTTTGCTCGGCATCTGTTGGTATTTGCATTTCTATTGAGAAGAGATGTTGCTGAGTTAGCGCTCTGTCCCTGTTGCTTGTTTAGTCTAATGCTCAACCAGCGGCTGAAAATAGGCCAATTTGTGAGCAAACAGGCAACACAACACACACAGCAGCACGTACCAGGGGTGCGGCTGCCTCGCTGCAGCTCAGGTTGCAATTAGGACTGTTTTTTGTTAACACAGCACTGTGCTTTTATTTTGCAATAAAAATACACTGAATTTTAACAAGCTTTGTTTATAGTGTCTTTTATGTTACACTGTTTGAACATTTGTTTAGGGAAATTTTTCCACAGCAGAGAACTTATGGTAGATACACAATGGGAAATGGCTGAGCCAGAGAAAACAGCAGTGTTCTCATACTGTGGTCTTCCACCAGGTGACAGCAGAACACTGTTCTAGAGCAAACACATTGACTGAAGACTGTGGGAGCAATGTTTAGTCTGTGCGTTTTTCAGAACATGGTTCAAAAGATGTTTAAGTATCTTATGTTTTGGTTGCTTTGTAGTTTGTGTATGTGTGCGTTTGTGTGTGTGTGACTGCCACTCATCCAGCCCTAAAGGTCACTGCAGAGTGCACAGAGGTCAAAGGGGGTGACCCCTCCTAATGCCCTTCTGTTGAACAAAGCCAAACATAAGGCATTGTTACCACTTCCATTATCAAAACAAAGCTAAAGCTGAAAGCCAACTCAAAACCACCGTAATTATAACAGAACACAATAAAAGGCAGACCTAAAGGCCAGCACCTCTTTAGACTGGAGCAGAGTTTAAGTGAACCCCTGGAGCCTTACGGTTAATGTTCAGTTATTAATCTTAAGATCTGTTGTTCAGTAACTACTATGAATTTTTCAGTACTGTGCAAAAGCCTTAAACCAGCCAATAAAATAATTTATCACTGTTTATCTAGACAGTAAGGGTTCAAAAGAGCACATAATATTAGAATAAATACATTAAAACAAGATTTTATGGTTGTCAATAAAGTTATTGATACACTGCCAGACAAAAGTTGAGACACAAGTCTGAAGTAGCTCTCAAAGAAGGGTCTTCCTCATTTTTAGTCTTATTTTATCACACATTTTAGAAAAAAGTGAAGACTTCAAACTTTGAAAAAGGTGTTGGCATGTCAAAGCCATGTATCACGTTTATTTTTTGATATTTGTGCACAGCAGCTGGCATTTAAATTGTGAATTGTGTGTGTGAATGTTTATGTCTGTGTGTCTGACAACCTGTCCAGGGTGTGTCCTGTCTTACACCCGCTGACCGCTGCCCCCCACCCCACCCCACCCAAGCGAGCAAGGAGGATAAGCAGCTTAGATAATGTGTGTGAATATTAGATTCATAATGTATGTATATTAAGTGTATGTTAAACACAGCATAAAGAATCATAAACAGAAATTGTATGTTTTCTTTTATATTATTTTATGTAGTTTGTTTTATTTAAGAGTGGTCCATGTAGAGGATGTGTTATGAATAATAAATAATAAATAAATACATAAATAAATTCTTAAATTTTATATTGTTAAAAGTGACCATTTTACCTGCATGTCAACTTTCTGCATGCTTGATCATGCTTTTCCAACAGATACACATACTGAGACCTTTTTGGCTGCTGAGAACCACTTTTTGAAGGGGATTCCCAAAAGAAAAAAACAATCTAAAGAAAAGAAAATTGTCATACATAGGTGTTAGTTTTGGTAACAATTTTTCAACCATTTAAGCGACATGCTGCTCAAAATGTCTTTAAGATTATGAAAAACATAGATTCAGTCAGGTCTGTGCAGACTTTTGCCTGGTAGTGTATGAAGTGAGATGGTCTCAACAACAGAGGTTTGATTTGTATTCTCTTCTGTATAACCCAGAAAGGTTTAGAAATAAATAAGTTAACACACTATAGATGTAAAAACGACAATGTATTGTATTATTTTTTTATTTGCATTCATTAGAATGTTAGTGATTTTTCAGAGTAAATAAGCTGGCTAGATAAATAGCTTTAGATATAATTTTCTCAGGTGGCCCAAGACTTTACACAGTAGTGGAGACCAGGAGAGCAGTAACATTGTGTAGCTCAGTCGTTGTTTGTTCTATACATTTAAAGCAGTGATATATATACGCAATCATGTTAACACACAATTACTGTTTAAAACTGAAAAAAAAAAAAACATAAAATGTTGCCTGTGCAAAAGTTCTGGCACATTTTATATGTTTTTTTCTTTTTTGTGCACATTACAAATAACAGCAGTGTAGAAATCTACTGCTTTCTCACAAAACAAACAAATATAAAGAGTTACAATGTTGCAACCTAACCCACTACTGGAGTCTGTTGTAACAGTAGGTTGTACCAGTGATACAAAACATGTAAAGTATTTATGAAAATATTTATTTAGCTATTTGTTAGATACTTTTCCATATCCCCTCATGTCAATTTTCTAAATAGACAATGTCATAGAAAACCAAATTTGAAAAAAAGTTTGATGAATATTTAGCAAACATTGTTTCAAAATGTACCATTCACTCCCCCAGTCCATACAGTCCATATATGAAAAACAAAGCTGCAAAAACTGCCCATGTTTAATGATGAAAGGCCATTGACATTTCTGTATAGTCCAATAGTAAGCTTGATCATGAAACCAAGCCATTATTTTAACGAATATTGTAGCAATCATAGATATCGTGTACATATGTACCACCCAGACACACTGAAACAGACTCAGTGAGGGAGCATTAGTGCAAGTGATGAGCACTACTGCCTGTTCAATATCAATGCTTTGGGTCGACGATGATGATGGCGATGTCCTACAGGAGACGGATGTTCCTCTCTTGTTAGGTCCAGCCAGATGAAGGATGGAGCGGCGCTCACTTCATTAAAGCCCTGCTGTTCAGCACGCTGTGGTTAGCAGCTGCGATTTGCACCCTCAATTTGTTTTAACCTTTTCAGGCGAGAGGAGCCCATTTCATTTTAATCACAATTGATGAGATGGCATGGGATCAATTAAGTAACATTGTTGCCTCTCTCTCTCTCTTTCTCTCTCTCTCTCTTTCCCCACTTTCCTACTTCTTCTTGATATTGCTGTATCCATTTCGCTGCAGCCCCAGGTCGAGTCTGTCCAGTCAAATCGCGGACAATCAATGTCACTAATCTGGTTTTATTTGCACGAACCGAACGAGTGCTGGCTATCGGGGCTTCAGAAAGTCGCTGTCTGCCGACACAGATGAAGGAGGGACTGATCAGATGCTCATCTGAGAAAGGTCAGCGCTGACGAGCAGGACGGTTAATTGACAGCTTGCGAAACAGCTGCAAAAACACACCAAAGGCTCTGTCTAAGTATGGGCAAGAAAATGGGTAGTGCATGCAGCCAAGGCCTTTTTTCTTTTCTGAGTGACCTCTGTGACATTCTGCATCCAGTCATTGCTGTTATGTGCACATTTTTTTTTTCATTTTTTGATATATACATTCCCTTCCTTTTTAGACTATGGTGCCTCTTTAGACTGGCGTAAGCCCTCTCTCAGTGATGTATGTTCTCTCTCTCTTTCTCTCTCTCTCTGTCTCTCTCTCTCTCTCTCTCTCTCTCTCTCTCTCTCTCCCTCTTTCTGTATTTTACACCTACAGAGCCAGCGACTGCTTTTAAGTCAATATCAGGCTCTTTTTAGCACTGTGAGTAAAGATGAGGAAGGGTTCACCACTCTGTGAAAGAATGCACAATTCAAGAATAACATTTCTCAACATAAAATAGCAAAGAATGTTTGCTTTTCATCGTCTGTGGTGTGTAATAACATTAAAAAATTCAGAGAATCTGGAGAAATCTCTGTATGCAAGGGACAAGGCCAAAAAACAACATTTGCTAGTTGTGATCTTCAGGCCCTCAGACAGCACTGCTTTAAAAACAGACATGATTCTGTAGTGACAGACATGATTCTATAGTCCACTGCTGAAAACCACTGTCTGTCAGTTCGTTGGTGCACATTGCAAGTTAAAACTCTAAACGCAAAGAAGAAACAGTACATAAACAGGATCCAGAAACGCCGCCGCCTTCTCTGGGCCTGAGCTCATTTAAAAAGGACTGAGGGGAAGTGGAAACGTGTCCTGTGGTCTGACGAGTCAACATTTGAAATTCTTTTTTGGAAATCATGGATGCTGAGTCCTCTGAGCTAAAGACCACTCAGCTTGTTATCAGTGCACAGTTCTAAAGCCAGTATTCATGATGGGATAGGGGTGCATTAGTGCACATGGCACAGGTGACATCCACATCTGTGAAGGCACCATTAATGCTGAATGATATATGCAGGTTTTGGCAATGTATGCTGCCACCCAGACAATGTCTTTTTCAGGGAAGGCCTTGCTTAAGTTCAGGCTTCTGTGTAATTTTCTGTTAAATATCTGTTTTCTTTTTTCATGATGCTGAAAAATGAACAACTTGTATTTAATGCCCAATTTTTTGGACTGAAATTTAATCTAATAAATCTAAACCTAATAAACTGGCAACTCTGTGTCTGTTCATGGTGATACGTCATATTTCTGTGTGGGTTTGTGTGTGGCTGTGTTTTTTGAAGTGTGGTTGCCATACCACAAATATTTTGCAGCCTCACTCAGCTTCCCCAACCCCATCCGTCTTGAACACACACAACCTGCACTCTTACTTGCCTTTGATCTAAGGAAAAAGCCTCGGCCTTGGCCATCTGGGACAAAAGCCATAGCGGCACCTCCAAGACGGCGAGACATAAATGCACACCGCCCTTCCTTGAAACCGCTGGACGACACCATGTTGACTTTTTTCTGTCCCATTCTTCTACAGAGGAAAGATTTCCCATAATATCTGACTTAAAAGCAGAAGAACCAGGTAAGCCAAAAAAAAGCTGAAAAAAGTCCAATTTCACACTTTGTGCACTATCCCAATGTGTGTTTTGTATCTCTCCGGATGCAGTTAAGGGTTGATTGCTTTCCAGAGAACTGCCTCCAGGTTTCCTGGATCAAAGTGCAAGCAGAAGTCAATGAAGATGCTGTGGGCCGCAACTCTAGCAAAGATGATGCTTAACATCACTTGACTGAAATTTAAAAGTATTCATGAAAATACTAAAGATTTTCACCAGGAGAGATGAAACATTATCAGTTTGTACCCAGTTTACGCTTGTTTCAGTTGATATGGTCTTTATCTAACGCAGATTTCATCTAGATTTAATTTTCTTACGCCACTCACTGGTTTCCTTGGTTTCCTTATTATCTACACAGTT